GACACGTATGACACTCGGCCTCAAAAGCAGAAAATTAGGATTGTTATACAGAAGAATGTGTACTCTATAAAGTGTTATTTGTAGTTAGAACATGATCACGTCTAAAAGTCTAGAGGTAAATTTACATCATTGCTTCAATATTGTGCTGTTAATATTATGTGTGAATTTAACTGGCAGATTCATGCTTTTCAACATGTTCATTCTTTTGGTCATTAGATACATGTTTTCACTTAATTGAACATGCGCCTTACACGGATGTTAATAGCATTATATTGCATTTAAGTTTTCGTGAGCTCTGTTTACTTCCGATTCAAAATTCAGTCATAAGAAAAAGAGCTCTTGAATTTACTGTCCGATATCAAGAATTTCCTTTTTTATCGTCTTGTGGAAAGACTAACACGTGTGTTTTAAAGCACACATCCGTAAACTGAATGAAGCTTCAAAATCTACTCCTAACTTCTCGAAGAGTGTATAGTCACTTCAATCATTGCTAGACTTGGAAATTTTGGAAATAATCATGCTGTAATTGGCGAAATGAGTTTGATATTGTCCACGGATGCATTGCCAAAGTTTTTACAAAGGGGTTTGTATAAACAGTTAAAATAAACAGTCATGTTATAATCATCTAATAGCTTGCATTTACTCTTTACATATAGGAATGATCAAGCGTTTAAAATCACAAAATCACAAGCTTATATTGGAGGTGAGTCATTTAGTACGTCACATTTTACATGAGCCGATTGCATTCAAAACAAAAGATAATGAGGAATTTTATCTTCATTTTTGTCTCTTATGCATTTGGCCTATGAAGTGTTAAAAAATTATAAAGAAGGGGCAGAACCCCCCTAACTTGACAAAAAATTCTAACAAGGGGAGCCAAGCCCTCCTGACCCCCTTTCCAATACACCCCTGATATTGTCCACTGAGTCAACGACAGACTAGAGCTTTGAAAATATCTTACATAATCTTACATAAAGTATAGCATAAGAATGTTGAAGAAAAGCGTGGGAAATTCGGCCATTTTTTATAGTTGCTTATTGTTTGATAAAATAAAGCGCAATATAAAGGTTGGAAGTAGAACCTGACGAATTCTTTATATATTTGCAGTGTGATGGCAAAAAATGAGTGCTTTGAAAATGTGATTTCTACTGAAAGTAAGTTTCAAAATATCAATACTTTTAGTTTGCCAACAGACGGTTTGAGGAACGTTGTTTCATTTATTTATAGATACTGATTTGGATGAACATGTCGACCAAACTCACTCAGGCTCGCACTCAGGTATGCGTTCATTTTTTGTTCTGCATGTTTAAGTTCACTTGTACGATAGAAAACTTTTAATTTTTAGATGTTGAATTCGCCGAACTATTTGAGAAAGTTCCTATTTTAAAAAATATGTTCCTCATGAAGTCTAAGATTGGTGAAGGTAAAATGTCATTACTCTTATATTAATCTCAAAAATATCAATTCTAGCATGCCACTGTGAAACAGCTTATGAAAATCGATTGTTGATTGTTTCTTTAAAAAGTCCAGCAGTAATATAATGCATTGTAGTAATCATAAATCTTTATACATTAATAGGTACATTTAGCAATGTTTACCAGGCTCATCTTGTTGAACATCCAGATGAATTGTTTGCCTTGAAGCACATCATACCTACAAGTTCACCAGATCGTGTTGAAAGAGAAATAGGATGTCTTCAGGAAATGGGGTAAGTTCTTACATACTTTGCAAATTTAAGTTTTTTTGTAAACTTAAAACAGAAAGACATGATCCAAACTATCTTAGTGTTCATTTTCCCATTACTAACTTTTTTAATATCAGATGGCTCTTTGTGCTAGCGAAAGGGAATTGGAAGCTGCATTTAGCAATTGTGAAAATTGACTTTTAGATACGAATTTGCCACAGAAGTTTGGACATTATATTTTTCAGATATAGATATAACTCAAACACATTTAATTCGCATGGCCAAGATATTTTATGTCGTTTATAATAACTAAATAGGATTGATGAATGCAACTAAAACAGGATTGATGAATGCAACTAAAACCGGATCGATGAATGCAACTAAAACTGGATCGATGAATGCAACTAAAACAGGATCGATGAATGCAACTAAAATAGGATCGATTAATGCAACTAAAACAAGATTGATGAATGCAACTAAAACCGGATCGATGAATGCAACTAAAACAGGATTGATGAATGCAACTAAAACCGGATTGATGAATGCAACTAAAACAGGATCGATGAATGCAACTAAAACCGGATCGATGAATGCAACTAAAACAAGATCGAGGAATGCAACTAAAATAGGATCGATGAATGCAACAAAAACAAGATCGATGAATGCAACAAAAACAGGATTGAGGAATGCAACAAAAACAGGGTCGATGAATGCAACTAAAACAAGATTGATGAATGCAATTATGAAGAGTTTAGTTAATGCGAATGTAGATAGGACTACAGTGGATAGAGAAGATCCTGGTCCAAGCTCCATACTATATCCTGGTAAGTTATGATACTTTTGTAAACTCTTTAGTTAATGCTCTTTCTGCAACTTGATTAAACTCATTTCCATCTTGAAAGGAACTTTGGTGTTTGTTTCATCTTAACGAGAAGTGCAAATTTCGGTCTTTTAGACTTTCGTATTCTTTGTAAGTGCAAGTTGCCTCATAGCCGCCATGTTGGATGATTTTAGCAAAGGATTTTCTTTATTTACAATGCAAATGCCATCCAACATGGCGAAACTTTCATTATCTCACTCCCACCTATAAGGACCCCAAAAATTTGTTTTATTTTAAATTTTTTGATCATTTCTGTTGGCTTATGATGCTTTAAATGTCCCCTGGGTTGCGTGTTGCATCTTCCTCCCTTTTCAGCAAACTTTCTTCATTGCTCAAAGAATTCAATGTTATCAACCAGCTGGTATGTCCGTACGGAAAATGTTTTTTAAGTACGTACCGATCAAAACAGTAAATAATATTTTTATTTTTTTTATTTTTATAATAAAGCAATTTTTATAATCGCCGACATGTTGCTTGTTTATTCTGATATTGGATTGTTTTCTACGAAGTTCGCTTCGTCTGAATAGTAAAATTCACTCTTGCTATGATAACTACCATCTGAATATATTTTGCTTTCTCTTGGAACAAATTACGTCGCTTTCAAATCAATTTTAAAAATTTAAATTTCACTTTATAAACAAATACATAACGAAAAAGTATCACTTTCGGAGCCTGCTCAAAATATCGTAAAACGCGCCCGCTGCTGCAGCAGATCAGATTGCAGAAAATCAAAAAAATATCACTTCACATGCATAAATAAAATAATAAATTATAATATCTCTTTAATTTTTTTGCAGTATGCAATCAGTACCTCGGTATCAGCAACATGAGGCTCATCAAAGACGACCAAATGACCTCTGATCTCATGAAATACATCGAACCTACGTTAGACTCACTGGAGCGAGTTCACAATAAGACCTCCACATTATCTTCATCGTTCAATTTTACTATAAAAGGAAATAAAACTGCTCCATCTGATGGGAGGCTTGGAAACAACGAGGGCTCATGGTGTACGAATCCTTTAAAAGTGGAGCGTTTGGTTGTCGACCTGGGTATGCTATAGTAGGGGATGCATGTGTGTGGCAAAATAATTACAACCGCTGATTTAAAATGCAAAACAACGCAACAATTTCATTGGTTATAAATTTCTAAAGGCTAAAATCTGACCAATCGATGAGCTGTTGTAATATATTTTGCGTAACAATGGAATGATGGATCCACCAATATTTACACCATTTTTCTTTTATCAATGTACCTGTAAACGATGGTATTGAAATGTTTGTGAAATTGGTGGCTATTGTATGAGCTTTTTGCTTGCGTGTTATAATTGATTAACCAATTTACTTGTTCAATTGCAGATCATTTAATTCGTGTAGCTTTCATTATACAGGTAATATTTACATACTGGAAGGAGTATTAACTCAGGGAAGATCAGATTCTGACAATTGGGTTACAGCATACAATATTTCATATGGCGTTGACGAGCATCCCAGATACTGGGATCATATCAAAGAGGTATGATGCAGATAGAGGAAAAAATGGTTCAAAGTTGCGGCTATAGTTTGGAGCAATACATTTGAAAATGATTTCATATTTTTCAATAGGTATTCAAAGGGAACAAAGATCGTAACTCTATCGCTGTTGCTAGCTTTCCTACCCGAATTGTGGCACGATATTTGATTTTAACACCAAGATCTTATCATGGAGAATTGATGTGCATGAGAGTTGAAGCTATTGGTTGTCATCCTGATGCTGGTACGTACTTAAGGATCGATAGGTTGTCATCCTTCATGCCGGTACATAGTACTCCATAGGTTGTCACCCTGATGCCGGTATATAATGCCCGATAGGTTGTCATTCTGATTCCGATACATGATACCCGAAAGATAGTAGCCGACTGGGCTTAAGACAATAAACATTACCGAAAAGCAAAAATACATACCAAGCTAATCTTCAGTTGATTTCCAAGCACGTTTATGAAACCTGAAACACTTTTCGTAGAAATGTTATTAGCTTGTCAATACTAAGCAATGCTCATTATTTCTCTAGTGAATGTTGCAAAAACCAACCCATTTATCTCTCAAATATCGATGGTAGCGCAAAACTGTCACCAGAATTAGTTGATGGAAAGTTTGGGTCAAATTCTGTCAACGGTAAGTTTGATGAGTAAAATTATTTCGCTCTTTCCGATTAAGTACTATTTCATTTTGCAATGAAATTATGTTTACTATTGCTGATTGGTAAATATGGTGAGTTTTACAAGAATTTGTCATTAGATGACAGAATGACATGTGAAGTGTTGCAATACATACGAATATCTGCCATTACATTATTGATGATTTTGTAGGGGGCACGTTCAAATAGGAATTTTGCAACTTTAAAGTACTTTGAAATAAAATGCTTAATGATTTTCATCATAATTTTCATTTAGAAACCTGTACACATATTCTTAATGAAACCTATCCATGGTTGCGCATCGATCTGCGTCGTCCTTATTACGTGAAAGAATTATTCATTTCAAACCATGATCACGGAAATGCCTTGGACATGCGTGAATTTGAAGTACGTGTTGGAGAGCCTTGAGAACAACGGAAACAATAATTCTGTTTGCTGTTTGGAGAACACCATACGGCAATCTCAGATTCGTACTGTTGTCTGTGGCAACAATAGTGTTGGACGCTATGTAAATATAAGGGCCTTGAAAGTGCAACTGGCCTTGTGTGAGGTGACAGTGATTGGAGTTGGTAAGATATGATTTTTTATAGATTGTGTAGGTGCTTCTTGTAGATTGTAGATTTTTCTTGATTATTCATATGCTACGTGGTTATGAATAAATTTTCATGTACATTACATCATACTAATTACTTATAAGTCAGTTTTGTGGGAATTCCTTCACGAACCATTTATCACAGGGATGAATTTAGTGGAGGGGGGTACCCATCCACCCCTCCCAAGTCTTGGCTAAAATCACGCAACAACTCCCACAAACCAACCACCAAAGTCAAATCCAAGCAACACTGACCGAACGGCATCTTATAAAAACTAGAGCACCCCTCGCCCTACAAAATCATTCTAGACCATCCCTGGTTTATCACAATTATTAACTATAAGCAGTCGCTCACCAATCCAAAATAGTTATTTATATTTAACGAGCTTTCGGCAGCCAGACTGTGCTTTTCTACTGGATCAAGATTAATGTAAAGAGCAAACTTGTGTACTTAGAATGTACATATTACATCATAGTTTTGAAATTTCAACTGCTTTTTACAAGGTGATTAACGTTTGTTTGTTTGTTTGTTTGTTTGTTTTTGTGATTTTGATGTATTATTTTGGTAATGGTCTAGAATTGTAATCTTAGTCTTTAGTAGTAGTTTCTTCGTTCCAAAAACTCCAAAGTTTTTCTTTGTCTGAAATTTCCTTTTTCAATTTAACCGCATTTCATCCATATTCACTCTCAAGTATTTTATTAAATTTACTTTCAAAGCTGATACAATTGTCAAACTCAAACTGGATGACATCGCCGACAGTCTAAAGACCGGAGCGCGTATTACTGAAAACGGTGAAAAAACAGAGGCTTTCGTTGGAGGTCTTATTGGCCAGTTACAGGAAGGACAGCAACAATTAGGTAACAGCCTTCATGAGTACTATGTCGTTTGCTTTATTCATTTTACAAACGTTGAGAGTTTCCTGTTCCGTGTTTGTAGGTGGAATGTTCTTTGGCCAAGGCATGAGCTTTTTGAACAATATTGGAGGCCAAGGTCTAAGTATGTTCAACAGACTTGGCAAACAAGGAATGGGAATGCTAAACAATCTTAAAGAGCAGGGTATGTATGTGCTAAGTATTAGTTTTTTAATCGAAAAGTGAAGGGCAGATGTGGAGAGGAGGAGGGAAGATGTTGCGTGAATGAAAAAAAGCTTGTAGATTAGACTGGATCTTGATATTTGCCTCACAGATTCATTTTTCTGTGTCGCAAATCATTGGTGACGACGAGACTATGCCCCATTTTTATTCAGGTCAAGATCTTACCAATGTCAAAAAATTAAAACAGCAAGGTTTCGATTTGGCCAATCAGATGAAAGAGTCAGGGAACGGGGATAGCTAACCAAGTGAAGGAAAAGGGGATGGACATAGCTAATCGGGTGAAGCAAAAGGGAATAAAAATGACAAACAAAGCAAGAGAAGAAGGAATGAAGGTGGCCAAGGAATTACAAGGACAAGGTACATACATATGTTAAGTTAACAGAAGAAAAAAAATATTTCCTATTTTTTTCTCATGTGTTTCGAGACGTGAATTTATATTTGACTGTATATTTTTCCGAGGTCTTAACTCGGCTCTTTTTCTAACGAAAATTATCTGTTACCTTTGTTATCGTGATTTAACGGCGTACCTCAACCAATGATAACGGTCATTTTATGTACATCATAACTTCTTTGTTTCGCCACGTCATTATGTATTGCCATCTCCCAATTAATGATAATTATGATTAAAAAGTCATGATATCCTAGGTGAGAAGTTGACTAAAGATTTGCGAAATCAAGGTTCAGTTTTGGTCGACGACATACAAGGACAGGCGAATGAACAAAAAGATACATTAAAAGACAAGGTATTTGTTGATGTAATTATAGAATATACGTTCTCCGTAACCTTTATTTTCACTAATTTTGTATCATACATATATCATCTTCTGATTCATAATCATTCATCACACACCCACCGAAGGTTACAGCTTTTTTAGTCGAAAGTTCGTGAGAAAAATCAATAAAATTTAAAACCGGAGAACGTTGATTTTATCATTTTATCTGCAGCTGGTTACACTTCATCTGAATTGTTGATGTTTGTGCATAGGATAAAAGAAAAATTGTTATTTTATAAACAGACACAAATAAACACGCCTTTTAGGTGGAATTTTCAACATTTTAGTTGGAATAATATTTTTTTTTATTTCAGCTCAAAAAACTCTTGGACAAGGTAAGTGTGGTCACGTTCGTGCACGAATAAAAAGTTTTGTTTCAGAAGTAGATATCTGGTGAACTTTGTGCGCAGCCGTTGAAATTATAAAAAATAGGAGGATGGAATAATATTTTTGGATTCTGAAAATAAATATAAGTCAAATTAATATCACGGTAAATGTATCAAGACATTTCAGATCGTGGAAGTCTTTCAAATGACAGAAGTTGAAGAGTTCTCATACTTGGAGTAATAGAATATCCTGCGTTACACTTAATTAGCTACCGACATGCCCGTCCCTCACCCATAACCTTAATTATTAAACTTCGTAATCATAACCTTGCCCGCGTTGTTGTTTAGAGTCCTTTGTTCCTCTGTATTCTATTTTCTCGCACTCTGCTTGGTTATATAACATACGAAAACTATCGACTGATAATTGTTATTGTTAGAATTGTATTCAGGCTTATTTATAATGCAGGCTAAAGAATATTACGAGAAAGCGAAAGAATATAAAGATAAGTTTATGGAGGAAGGATATTTAAGCACGGGAAAAGGTATCGTTTACATCAGACCACCTCACTTTGTGTGGGGATTTTCAGGAGCATAGCCAGCCCACAAGTTTTAAATGTTTTTGCTGTGAGTGAACAAAGAAAAATATCTTTAGCAGGATAAAAATTTGCATGCTTCGTCACTGTTTATGATAACAACAACTGCTTCTGAGCTATAGTAGTTACAAAAATTTTTTTCGAAATATGTCTGAAGTTAACTTGAAATTGACTTTGCTGAAGACAGAATTATAACTAGTAAATTTGCTTTTACGGTCCATAGTTATTAGTATATAGCTTATGTATGAACAGCTCGTATTTAAAGTGTCTGTATATCAGTGTCAAAGAAATAACTTTCTCGATAGCGTAGTCGATTTTAAGAACATTTGCAATATATCTCATTTTAGGTCACTTTCGGTGAAGAGTCACCTGAGCCCTATTTACACGACATAAACCTGTGTTTAACCGAGGATAATTTTTTTGCATGTAAACACCACTTACCCAGGTTTTACCTTGGTTAAACTCAACCGATCTCAAGAGGTAGGTTGAGTTTATCCTAGGTCAAACCTGGGTTAGTAGAGCTTACTCGCAAAAAAATAAACCTTTGTTAAGCCTGGGTTTATGTCGTGTGACTAGGGCTTTATTCTAGACCAAAAGCATATGAACATAAAATTTTCGACGCATGAAATTTTCCTAAATTTAACTTCTAAAGAAGTTATTTCCTGACCCTGACATAGGTACTTTAATTGTTTATACATGCTGAATTGTATTGTTTTGGTATTATCTCTGGAGTGGAGACTTAAGAAATCTATAATGGTGAAAGTTGTCAGTTCATTTTTTACCTTCAACTCAAACTGCCGTTTTATTCTACAGAATACCTAGATATTGGTATTAGTTTGACGATGAAGGGACTTCGTTATTTACAAGAGAAACTCACAGATTCATTAAAAAATATTGCCGGTGATTTGACGGGTCAAATTACGGGCAATATAGACGAGTACAACACTGACGGTGTTAATGGTTTGCTTGACAATGTGGACACTGATAAGGTCAGGGATATCGTCGAGGAAGCGAAACCAAAGCTCAATGATTTCATTGATGAGATGAAGAGGTTGATAAAGAAGTACACGGAGGTTGTTATCGATAAAGCTAAGGAGTTAAAGGAGGATATAGAAAGGGAGGTAAGAGGTTGATAAAGAAGTACACGGAGTTTGTTATCGATAAAGCTAAGGAGTTGAAGGAGGATATATAGAGCGAGGTAATAGATTTATTGACGATTTCATTTCAAAAAAGATTTTAACGCAGTCGTCTGCAGATAGTTTTCTTGTCTCTTTTGAGACCTCGTGAAAATGTTTTTCAGTACGAATCTCACCGACAGTAAATACGTAACGCATATATTGTTGTTTGAGGTTGACAGTGCGCAGAAAGATATAAAAAGTATTGGGAAAAAGGTAGCTAAACAGGCTAAAAATACGGGTAAAAATATTGCGAACAAGGCCAAAACTGTTGCCATGGATACTGTGTCTAAAGCGAAAACTGCTATCACGAATGCCACGAACAAATTGAAGGATGCTGGGATGAAAACGTTTAATACAGCACAAGAGACTGGAAAGAATGCCGTCAATGAAGTTAAAGATTCTGCCAAGGATGTCGTTGATAAGACAAAGAAAAGTGGCATAGATGCTGTGGATAAAAAAAGGAAAAGTGTCATGGATGCCATGAGTAAGGCAAAGACAAGTGGCGTGAATACTTTTGGTGAGTTTAGATGGTGTGTACAAAATAGTATTATCTACAGAAGGTAGAACTCAGACTATTTAGTGAGTTTAGATAGTGTACACAATATTATTATCTACAGAAGGTAGAACAAAGACTGTTTGGTGAGTTTAGATAGTGTACACAATAGTATTATCTACAGAAGGTAGAACTCAGACTGTTTGGTGAGTTTAGATAGTGTACACAATAGTATTATCTACAGAAGAAAGAACTCAGACTGTTTGGTGAGTTTAGATGGTGTACACAATAGTATTATCTACAGAATGTAGAACAAAGACTGTTTGGTGAGTTTAGATAGTGTACACAATAGTATTATCTACAGAAGGTAGAACAAAGACTGTTTGGTGAGTTTAGATAGTGTACACAATAGTATTATCTACAGAAGGTAGAACAAAGACTGCTTGGTGAGTTTAGATAGTGTACACAATAGTATTATCTACAGAAGGTAAAACTTAGACTGTTTGGTGAGTTTAGATTGTGTACACAATAGTATTATCTACAAAAGGTAGAACAAAGACTGCTTGGTGAGTTTAGATAGTGTACAAAATAGTATTATCTACAGAAGGTAGAACTCAGACTGTTTGGTGAGCTTAGATGGTGTACACAATAGTATTATGTACAGAAGGTAGAACTCAGACTGTTTGGTGAGTTTAGATTGTGTACACAATAGTATTATCTACAGAAGGTAGAACAAAGACTGTTTGGTGAGTTTAGATAGTGTACACAATAGTATTATCTACAGAAGAAAGAACTCAGACTGTTTGGTGAGTTTAGATAGTGTACACAATAGTATTATGTACAGAAGGTAGAACTCAGACTGTTTGATGAGTTTAGATGGTGTACACAATGGTATCTACAGAAGAAAGAACTTACACTGTTTGGTGAGTTCAGATGGTGTACATAATAGTATTATCTATATAGAAGAAAGAACTCAGACTGTTCACTTTTTGGCTTAGATTTTTTATCAACTTGCGCTGTAAGCTTCGAAATTTTGAAGTGAAAATCAAACGAATATAATATGGCGTGAAATTTGGTGCAATTAATCGAATTATTTTATATGAATTGTTTTATTTTAGTCTATAGTCATTTTAACTATCTAAAGTTTAGACTGAATATCTGTATTGTGACAATTTTCTATTATTGTTTGTTAAGATCAGGCAAAAGATGTGGGAATGGGAGCGTTTGGTAACTTACAGACCGCTGGCAACAATGTTTTTGGACAGGCGAATAACCTGGGAATGGGTGCTTTTGGTAAGCTCAAACAAACAGGAGCGAGTGTATTTGGTAACGTGCAAGGATTTGGCCAAGGAATGTTTGGAAAGGTGATTGCAGTATTGATTGAGTCTTGAAGCATATTTTACTAAACATTAAAATGTCGACCTTTTTTGCCGTTGCACCCTGTATTATACAACAATTTTCATACAAGAGAATGGCCACCAACGTCGTGATATTTTTGCCTTTTCTTTTTTTTTCAATTATATACCGACCTAATTTTTTCTTTCATTACTTAAATCTTAAAAATTTATGTCGAAGCGATAGTTTTGGGTGTTAAAATCATTCGCCTTAATAACCTAGTTTTTATTTTTCCCTTTTTTCAGCTCAGCGATGCAGGAATAAAATTGTTGTCCAAAGTTAAAGCTGCCAAACCAGAACAAGTGAAGGAAATGCAGCAGATCTACACGCTTCAGCAACTCAAGCAGATTAAACACATGCAGTAGTTACGTATGAAAGAAGATATACAATGGCAAAAGTTGGAGGAAATTAATGATGAAGTCGAGGAAAGGAGGAGGATGGTAATGGAGAAGACTAAAGTGAAAGGTGCGTTTCAATGAAATTTTTACTCCGCTTGCCTTTTCATAGTATGTCGTTTGAAAGGAAGTTAACTTATTTATGATTTCCAAAACGAAAATCTTGTGAAAGTTTGTGTTGAACAGTGTTTTTTCCGATGTGGAAAATTGCTGTGTTAGGGTGCTCTTTTGTAAAAGGCAGATAATCCCAGTTTTCTTGAAGTTTGTCTCGATGCTATGTTTTTATCGGAGCAACAGCTGTTAAGTGTTTTGCTAATCCAAGGCAAGGATGGATGCACTATGGTTTTGAAAGAGGTTCCTCTATTTTGGATTAGATTTCGGTGGCCATTTTTTCTAATCGTATGTCAAACTTCTTTTGTTGAGTTTGTTTTTGTTTAATTGTTTGGTATATTAGTATTTTCTCTCCCCAATCTCCTAAATCTATTCCTCATCCTACGGTGTTTTCTCTGTTATTGTTCCTCCTATTGATTCAGTTTGAAAGGGTGTGCTGATTCGTTCTATAAGAAAATTATTGTTGTCAACTTAGCCTTATGTGGATTAGTTTTTCATTACAGATACAGACTAAGAATTTCATTCTGTTAATGAAGACTTGTGGTATCTCGGCTTAAACCTAAAGTGTACTAAAGTAATTATATTTATCAAAGTTATTGTGAATTATGAGACAATATTTATATTTGTGTACTCTGTCCAAGAGCTTAGTATCAATCATGATAAAAACTAAAGTTGAACATTTTTAGAATGTAGTCATAATTTTTACCGGAATTAGTAGTGCCTACGATAAGATAATGGCATTCGGGCATCATCCAATGGTGGCGCTTTGATTTTTTAGCGGTCGGTGGCTCGAAATTTATGAGTGCTATTATCATATAACAACATCAGACTAACAGACTAATTTTTTCTGCATCTATATAGTACTGCCATAAAAATGGAACCTGCAAGCGCACCTCCAGTCGAGCCAGTAGACGTTCCTAGATCAGTACAATGGATATATCCGGATTTAAAACGTGAATAGGAATACCAAGGGGTAGAAGACTTCTTTCACCCCGTTCATCAATCGAAACGAGCAACTTTCGCCTTGTTCGCATTTCAAACATTGAGGCAGAGCTTCGCCAAGAGCGTGACGCTCGTCATAAGCTGCGTAAGAAATACACGCGCATTATTTCGACACTCGACACCTTATCTGCTGCATCGAGTGCCTTTACAGTCGTGACAGGAACTGGAGGTATTGCTCTCACCCTATCTGCACGCTACCTCACTCTATCAAGGGCCTAAAGGAGATATTGGAGCCACAGGGCCTCAGGGGCCTTCAGGACGTCAAGGACCTCAAGGACAACCAGGAGCTGATGGGCTTAAAGGAGACCAAGGAGATCAACCTGTTTTGAACTCTCCTACTGGATTTTACCCTCCCAGTATGAGCGGAGGAAATGTAACTTTAGTAACGTTTCCTACTGGAAAAACACTCGAAAATAATAAAATAGCATTATTAAACATTTGGTTTGAACGGTCTCAACACGAGTGATTCAACATTAGATCTACTGTGTTTGAACAAAATTGGGGGCCTTGTGTTAGTTTCGTACATGATAACACTAACAAATTGATGTCACATGTTAGTACAATACCCATTAACTGGACGCGAAGATATCAGGTACACTATTTAGAGTATTCTTAATTCTAAAACAATAAATTTTCACTTTATATTTATAGTGTTTATCACTTCAGTTGTGTTTTGTCACACAAACATTAAAATGTCTAACGCAGCTGAAATTTCGGTTCATGAATTTAAATCAACAAACGATCTCTTTCGCCAAGCATTAGAAGTATACTTACGACGCAATAGAGAGAAAAATTTTGAAAAATTTCAACTAGTATATAATTCCAATGCTGAAAAAATGGTCATATCTTCTTGGAACTATTCAGACGTAGATAAACCTACGCGTGAAGCTCTCGAAGCTTTGTTACGTCCGGCAAAAAGACAACACCGCCCGTGGTGTGAAACATCATAGAAGACGTGAAAAACATAAAAAACGACTAGAAATTCCAGTAGATGTGTACACTCAAGTTGGTGCTTCAATCGCTGGAAAAAGGCGTTCAGATTGGACCAATGTCGCGATGTATGAAAAAGGTGCAACAGATTCTTTTACAATCACCATCGAAACCGCTGGATTCTACGGAATATATCATTAAGTGGAAAATGTTTTACAAATGCAGGAGCGCTACGAGTACTTCAAACTCCTAGCAAATTACTTGTCTTAAGTAAAACAAAAACACATCGTATTGATGATATTAACTCTGAATGTAGTTATAGCGTCTTTATAGATGTAGACTTACCTGCTGATGCAGCATTAATTGTTCAACAGATGGGAACTGCTAGAGTAATTATCACACTCACTATAGAAAGCATCTTACCCGAATCTTCAACGGTTCTTTGACGAAGATTTGCTACAGGAAGTGCTAGATGATTCCGAAGGCTTTCCTTCGCTTTTTTGTTCATTATCTAGAACCGAATAAGAACACTTCACGTTTGGCAAAGGGGGTGAGCCAACCTCTGAAGGTGTTGGAGCTACTTTAAAATCTTTTTTAGACGTTTTAGACATTTTACTTACTGCACTTAGAAATCGATGTGTGTTGTTGTTTATTAACGATTAGTCTCATATATTCCCATATGCAGCTTCCCAACCTACAGAATTTGTTATAACAGGTGGTCTTATTTCGACTACATCATTAGGCCTAATAAGTCTGCGCTTACATTGTTCCGGAAGAGGTGTAGGTGGAGCTACATTAGTACGCTTTCTTGATGTAGATGCAAGTGCATGAGTCTAATGTGTTTATTCTTCTATGCATGTATCTATTGTATGTATCTTGCTTCTAGTAACAATCTAGTATGTAATTTTAAATGTTCTTCTCTTTGTCTTATTATTATATTATTCAATTTTTTCTCTCTTTCTCTTCTTTCCTTTTGCTCTTGCCTTTTGGATTCACAATTCATCTTACCACGTACCCTACTTTACAATACTCTCTAAATAATAGACCCCGACGGCCAGCCGCGGGGGCGCTGGGGGTGGGCTGGCCGTTTTTGGCTCCAGCCGTTGTCCAGGTTTTGACCTTCGCTGTCTTGTGATTTTTGTGCTTCTTGTAATTATAATATATGCTTTTTCTTTCTTTATATATATCTTTCTGACATACACAGTAAATACGTACGCGAACTAGGGCTGGGGCGCTTAGATTTGCGTATACTAGGTCTAAAGGTGTGAGGTGCGCTAGCGGCAATGCTTTATATACTACTCAACATCAGTTGAGCAAATTGCAGTCGCACTTGAAGCCATTGTGTCTTACACGAATACAAAACAGAAATTTGAGAGCAAACACAACAGAAAATTACTACCGACAATGATCTCGTAATTTGATAATCACTAACCGCTGTACTCGTATTAAAAGGTCGAATAATTATAACCTCCTCCAAATTTAAAATAGTGGGTGTTCCACTATAAAAACAGCAGATTTGAGCATGCACCAAGTCCCTTAGCGAACCAGAATACAAAAATTCTTATATAGTATTGTATTGTATGTTACGTCCTCTGAAGATAGGCGGAATACGTGGAGAAATCGCGTGAGTATACATTGAAATGTGCGAGAAAAGACAGTTGCTAGGTTACAAGACAAATCTTGAGATTGTGCGATATTACGATTACGAACCACCGAATAAAAGCGTGAAAATAAACGAATAAAACATAATATTACAATTTGTTTGTGAAAAAATATTCATCTCATCTCCAAATACAATATCTATTATTCTTTGGGAAATTTCTACTCCTGCAGGGCGGCAGTAGCGGGACGCCACTGAAGACTTGAACAACTAGGCATTAGATCCATCGTTAAATACAATATCATGGGACAACCAAATTTTGACTGTATTGGTCTTTTTTGTTTTAATAATCTAAATTAATTTTTTTAATAAGACACAAATCACTAAATAAAAGAATATTTGAATGATTTCTCAGAGAAAAAAAATACACTCATCTTAGCTCCAGTTGTTAAAAAAATCAGGCAGATAGGTGACATTTGGGTAGTCTGCATGCTTATTGACCAGTTACCTCACAGTTTCATGCACGGTATTGTGAATATACAGTAGAGTTACTGCATTAAATTTTGTTGTACAACGCGCACATTACAAACCAAGAGAGAAACATTATCATACATGCCAAGAACTCATGCCTCATTCACAACCAACAACCATGGCAAAGAAATACAACTCCACATTCGACGTGACAATGGGCAGCTTCGACGGCGCCGAAACATGCGAACTCGTAGGAAGCTATCTACTCTCACAACTGCAACACATCATTACTAACATAGGACTCTATCGCGACGACGGACTAGCCATTACTAAAGCAACACCTAAAGAAACAGAAAAATTAAAGAGATATGCTGCGTATTTAACAACAACGGATTGCGTATCACTATCGAAGCTAACAAAAGTCATTAACTTCCTCGACATTACGTTCGATCTAAAGAATTCTTCCCATCGACCTTACACTAAGCCCAACACCTCTTTGCAATACATCCACCACGAAAGCAACCATCCTCAAGCATTACAAAGAACATACCCGATACCATTAACAAACGCCTTTCATCCTTATCATCCGACAGAGCATCATTCGACCAAGCAATCCCTCCATACCAAAAAGCACTTGACGAAAATGGATATCATTACACGCTGAAATATGACCCAAACGCTACTACGAAACGGAAAAACAGACTTAGAAATAACATACTCTGGTACAACCCACCATACAGCAAGAACGTCAGCACAAACATCGGCTACAAATTCATTTCACTAATTGACAAGCACTTTCCCATAGACCACAAACTCAGAAAACTATTTAACCGCAACACAATTAAATTAAGTTACAGCTGCATGAACAATATGGAACATATTATTAATAACCATAACAAACGCATATTGAGAGAACCTGACAATACTAATGACACCATCAATGACAAAATACACAAACAAAACATGCAACTGCCGTCAAAACAAAACTGCCCACTTAACGGAAACTGCCTACAATCATCTGTCATCTACCAAGCAACTGTTAAACGTTTAGACAATAACACAACTGAGACCTACATCGGACTTACAGAAAACGAATTTAAGACTCGACACAGAAACCATACCTCTTTTCGCCACAAAAAACTAAGAAACTCCACCGAACTCAGCAAACACATATGGACACTAAAAGACAACAACATCGCTCACAATATCTCATGGAACATCATCACTCACAGCAAACCGTACAACAGCGCCAACAAAAGATGCAACCTATGCCTGAAAGAAAAACTCTTCATCACCTACCAACCACAACTATCATCACTCAACAAACGTAACGAACTTATCTCCTCTTGTCGCCATAGACACAAAGCACTTTTATGTAATTTGTAATCGAACACTCAATATATTATGTAATTCTATCTCAATTTTTAACCTAACTTCCTCTTGTATATATATCTAGCACATGCTTTGTATTCATATAATATTATCCCCTGAAGAGTGAGAAATCACGAAACAGGCTTGTCGGGATGAAATTGTAGTTTTTGTGTATTTTCTTTTTCTCATCATATATATATATATATATATATATATATTTGAAAATTGGTAACCCAGGCATATTATGATAATGATGAGGATTCTCTGGATTTGTTTTAAATTTTTTAAAAAAAAAATTAAAAACAAAATTTAAAAATCAAAAAACAAAAATTAAAAATTAAAAATAAAAAAACCCATGGCAACGCATTTCACCCCATCCAATCACATTAATCCACCCACTAATCCAATTAGACGCTCTAAACGTCTCCAAGCTAAAAGCACGTGTAAATAAATATCCTCATTCTGATGAAGGCTCGAAGCAACGAGTCGAAAGCTCAATAAAAAATTTAAAACAAATCCAGAGAATCGTTATCATTACCATATATATATATATATATATATATCTCAATCTTCACTTGTGGTGATAGAGTAATGGGCGAATAAAACATCCCTTTTATAAATAGTTGTTTTAAATAATAAAGTAGAGACTTTATCGTGGTGAAAAATCTGAAAATAGTTCTAAAGATAGCAAATACCACAGTGAATGGTAAAAGTAATTTAATAAGTTGATAGCTCTTAAAAGAACAGTTTTAAGTTATGTCGTTGTGTCGTTTAATTTAGAACTATTGGGTTAGTGCTCTTTACTTAAAACAATTGTTTTAAGAACTATCAACTTATTATATCACTTTTACCATTCACTATGGTGTTTAATATCTTTAGAACTATTTATAGTTGTTTTAGTTTGTATGTAGCCATCGCCTCGATGAATTTTTCCTTGCTGAAATAATCAATCAGACTGTGTAAGATGTTATCTGAAGAGTTGAACGTTGAGGGATAACGTTGAACACTGTTTCGCATGTCCACGTAGATAATAAAAACTTTAAAATGCAGGCAGTTGAGAGAAAACAAAACAAATTTTTGTTCTCTTTGAAAGGACAGAAGGGGATTTTAAGGAATTTTTTGAACTATGGTGATTCAGTTCGTGTATGAGTGAATGCGTGCTTCCTATACTATAAAGATATCAACTGTTGAAGTTGATGTAATAATTTGTGACTTGCTCACAGCTACATTTTCTCCTTTCGTTTTTATTTTTCTATGTAATATATTTATATATATAAAAACTGACAGAAAATTATTTCATATAGTTTATGTTGTTCATATCCCTCCCATCCCGCCCATAAATTCCTGCATTTGTCTGGCGGAGACGGTTTGTACATAATTTTATTACAACTATTTTTCTGGCACGTTTCTATACATTATAAATTATGTTAAATTCTCATAAGAGACTTAACCGCAATTTGAAGTTAGACTTCCCTTCCGTGAAATACTGCTTTTGAGCATTTGGAGACGTGTGACCTACTAAGTCTTCATTGTACGTGTAAGTTTCTTATCATTCCTCCATTCTGCTTTACCATCAATCATTGTTGCCCAAAATAATCACGTTGTGTTATAAATGGGCAGTTTTGTAGCAGCGCTTTTTTGATTGCAACAGTGACACAAGAATAACTCAGAGTAGATGGATGTTGTTGTGTAAATTAGTGTAATCTGTATCTACATTTTTTTAGATCATAATTCTTTCAAAATGAAGATTTTTAGCATAGTACACGTAAATAATCACAAACAATTCTAACCCCCCTTTCTCCTCCGATAGCGTGGCTGTACTTTTACAGTTTGCTGAATTATTTCAAAATTTTCTTAATTATTGAAGAGTTTGAACTCGTTCCCGGCCTTCAAGACGTAGAGCACACGGTATGTATGCTCGTTATAAATGATCTTCAGAGTGTCCCAAAAAGCCCAGTACAAAAAATTACGTATGTAATAAATTGAAATCTGCAATAATACAATAGTCTGCAATTCTTGACTTGCAATTCAGCCATGTTGGTGGTCTGATACAAAGAATATTTTATCAGTGTTATTGTTGGCACCAGCCGACGCGGGCGAGCAACATTGTTTAATAAATCTCAAGAGAATGGTTGCAAGTCAAGAATAGTTATTTGTTACGCCAGTTTAATTTAGTCGCACTCTATGTTTTTTCATAGTCGATGCAACGTATCGAAAATATGACCGTATTTTGGTCGCAGTTATTACTCAGTTAATGTCACTTTCATTTTAAGAAGCTTTTGAGGCAAAAATCAGTGTATGATATTAGTACTGTTTTGCGTTGACTAATACTTCGCAAACTCAATCAAATCCTAGAGGGGAGGCATTTAGCCACAACTGTAGTTGGGGATGCTGATACTCATTTTATAATCCGTAAAAAACAATGAAATTCAATAGAGGGACCAATTACATGGGCGAGTTATCCCGGCTGGGCGAGTTGTCCCGGCTAGGCGAGTTGACCCGCTTTGCCGAGTTGACTCTCTGTGTATAATTGTTATATATTATTTACTGTGTGATAACATGGCAAGCTAGTTGTCCCACCTTGCCGAGATCCCAGTCGTTGCTTGCCGAATTACTCGCTTAAGCGGCATGAAAATTCCCATATAATTGCAATCTGCTGAGTTGGCTCGGCAAAGCGGGCCAGGGAATTGGACTCGCGCGTGCGTTTATTGGTCAGTTCTAATTGACATAGACTTTAGAACGATGTATGCCTGTCTGTTCAAACAGCAGCTACGAGCTCCAAAAATTCACAGGAAAATTTCGAGCCCAGAAATTTAATTGGGATGGCAAAATAATAAAAGATTTCTGGGCGTTTTTAGAAAATGAAACTATCATATAATTGCAATTTTGAACTCGTCTCGGCTAGGCGAGTTCACCCGTTTAAGCAGGACAATTCGCCTCATGTAATCGGCCCTTATACGGCATGTCATGCATATATGAATATGGCCCAGCCCCCAATTATTGCTCTAGCTACGTGCCTGGCAAAGGGCCAGAACTGTCAAGTACATTGCATTATTGGGCGCAATAATGGCAGTGCCTACAATAATTTCATGTGGGTTCTATTTTTTGGGAAGGTAGGGAGACGTTCTGTATATATAACGATTCTTTTATTGTAACGAGTATATAAATAGCTTTGTTTGAAAAATAAAGTTTATGGATTCATTGAAACTGCGTTTGGGGAATCATTACGAGCTTTGCACGTGGCAGAATTGAGCTTCCCCGGAAATGTTATTGTATGCATGCAGTATATCAATAGTTGGTTGTTTAAATCCATATTTTAAAAGTCCAGTTAAAGTCGACAATTTCATGTAGTTCAAAATGTTTTATTCGTTTAAGGGACAATATAAAGAAAGGATGGATTATTGAACAGACATCGATTAATACGTCGACAATCCACAAAGACTGGAGCATTCATAAGCATAACATGCATGGGGTTCTGTCTAAGAAAAATTGTTGTGATTTTATGTGTTCTCTGGTTATGGTCGCTTAGTTTTATGTGATTCAAATTCTTTTTGTGATGGTTTCCAACTTCTTGAAGCCAAAATTCACGAAAAGAACCATCGAATCTCAACTTGAAGCCACTTTAGAGGTAAGTACTCACTTTATATATCTGCCTTTTGACTGCGTAAGCTCATGCATATATATTTGATGTTAGCATTTGTTTTTGTTTCTGGTGTTGATATGATATTAAACCACAACCCTTCTTATACTTAAAAATTATTATATAACAAACACTTATAGCAAGGTTAATTACTTCGTTTGACTCAGATTGACCAATTTTTTTGTTTATCTCTTCTGACAATTTGTTTTGTGTTCCTCATTTGTTTTTAATTTTAACCGATTTTTTCATGGAAGCTGTATTTTTAAAAGCAATTTATTTAAGGAAGTAAGCAAGTTTAATTACATTGTCCTTTTCAACGTTATGTTCAGCGAAAATATAATCTAAATGAGACAATTTTCCTCTCATATGCACTGCAAAAAGGAAAAACACAAAATAATTCGCGAATGAAATGATTGTGAAATATTCATTGATTCGTGTCAACTTGATTGAAAATTAAAAAGGAACTTGAGTTCTGGTTTCTTTTTCCACTCATCATTTGACCTTACAGCCGTGTGCACTCGAATAAGAAGATCAGGGAATGTTTTGAGAAAGTATTCCTTTGGATCACCAATTTTATAAAATGTTTCTGGTTGTGGTCTTGGCCGTGGTTGATCGTACCAATGCTGGCCAACATTTCGAATAAGTCTTAAGCATTCTGTCCATGAAGATTTATACTGGACCTTATTGATTTTTCCATTTTTTTCATATGTGCAAAAATAATCATAGACATCATCATCCATTTGACTTTTCCAATCTGAGGATTCGCCATTCAATTGTTGAACGACACTTGAAAGGGCATCATTTGTCTTTATTGGTTGTTGGTTTCCAACTTTACACAACATTTCGAACTTCTCGTAATCCGACAAAAAATATGGGTGCTTCAACGCTTCGTTTGCTAATGGTCTGTCTTCAGGTTGTCGCTTTAACATCCACGACAGAAGATCTTTGAGCGTGGCATCCTTGATTTTATTCAAGCCAACAGGGTTTCCATTCAGAAGGTTACCCAGTAAATGCCGTTCAGGTCCAAAAGGATGTTCCCCCTTTGTTGCAACATAATAAGCCACCATTCCTGCGTTCTATTTTCAATAAAAAAGATATCATATCAGTCACAACGTAAATGGTTGATAGTGAAACGTTAAAAAGTCGAGTTTATTTGTTAGTTGCAGAAATCAGCAGTATTTGAAATTCCACTACAAATACCTACCATAACATCAGACTGTTTCTTGTAGCGGGATGAGTCAATTGCTTTATTTCCTTCATTATACGACTATGGAGCTATCCAATTTTTACCTCCTCTCTGTGTGCTCAGATGTGTCGAAGTTTCATTTAATAATCTTCGACTTATACCGAAGTCAGCGATTAAAAAATATCCTTGTACATCTCGAAGAACGTTTGAGGGTTTTAAATCCCGATGAAGTATAGGATGTGGGCCACTGTGAAGATCTGCTAAACCTGTTAAGATGTGCCTCATGACTTTGGGAAGCGCTATTTGAAGCTCATCTAAAGTAGAAGATTTCACAAAACTTTCCAACGATTCTTCACATAAATCTAATACAAAATATATAAATTCATCCCCTGGTTCGTCTTCTAGGTAACAATAATTCACAACGTATTTTGAACGCTTTGCATTAAAGTCGTTCAAAATATCTTTTTCTTGCTTGGCTTGTTCAGTGAAACTATCTCGATTAAGTCGTTTCACGGCTTTTCCATAACCGTCTTTTCCCAGTCCAAGATAAACACGGGTTCCATCACTTCCTTTGCCAAGTAAAAACTCCTCCAAGAAAATTACAAATACATCATTTACATATTTAAGCTTTGTTGGATTTGTCTTACGACATTCCTCCATCTTTTTCAACTTTTCATGATGCATTAATGATTTATCAATGCACGTCCAAGGTTCAGACAGTATGCCTTAAATTTAAAAAAAAAATTAACCATTGAGGAAACAGCAATGAAGGCATGTATACATACATTGCGATAAACTTGTTAGTGTATTCTGTTATAAATTACCTATAGCTGGTAATGATTCCGTGTTCTACAAACACGCAAAATCGAAACCAAATACAAACTCTAACCCATAACCTTATATTACTAGGCCATGGCCGACATATTGGTTTGTAATTTAATGAGGGATCCATGTCGCGTGTTGAAAAAGACGGGGCTATAACCGCCAGACACGTACTCGTCTTTAACCGTAACGTAGATTGTTTTCAACAATTACTTGCAAGTGATCTCGCTTGCATATCTTACGCGTCTCCTTAGCAAAAAATCAATCATCAAAGTTAAAATAATTAAATGAAGATATGATCTTCGCACTTTGCTGGACAATTTAAGCAATCGTCTCAGGACCTGAAAAAATCAGGCGACTCAACGGGATTCGAACCTATGACCTCTGCGGTGCCGGTGCAGTGCTCTGACCAACTGAGCTATGAAGTCACACAGTGATGAGCAGGTCAATATTGTTGGGCTCATGTTTTCTCGTGAAAGGAATGTCGTATGAATGTTTTTATGCAGTGCGGTAATTGAAATTAAATGAAGATATGATCTTCGCACTTTGCTGGACAATTTAAGCAATCGTCTCAGGACCTGAAAAAATCAGGTGACTCAACGGGATTCGAACCCATGACCTCTGCGGTGCCAGTGCAGTGCTCTGACCAACTGAGCTATGAAGTCACACAGTGGTGAGCAGGTCAATATTGTTGGGCTCATGTTTTCTCGTGAAAGGAATGTCGTATGAATGTTTTTATGCAGTGCGGTAATTGAAATTAAATGAAGATATGATCTTCGCACTTTGCTGGACAATTTAAGCAATCGTCTCAGGACCTGAAAAAATCAGGTGACTCAACGGAAACATTCTACGACAAACCTTATTATATGGGAGTAGGACTTCAAACCGTTTAGATGTTTGATGTTTTGTTACAATTCGTTTTTATGCTCACCAAATTATGCTAAAACTCTAAATTTTGTTTTCAGTTATTTTTAGTTAAAAAATATCAATATTTCTTATAAAGTAAATCACACAAGGCCACCACAATCAGAACATTAACAAGACGTGCACAAATCATATGTGATTCACTGGACGCTCTACACAACGAAAACAACTATCTCAAACGTGTTTTTGACAAAAACAACTATAACTCTGACTTTCTTAAACGCAACACTTACGAACCCAACGAACACAACGAAACAAACAACTCAGTGACAACAGCAACGATACCTTACATCAAAGGTATGTCTGAGACTATCTCGCGTATCTTACGACCATACAACATACGTGTCGCACATAAACCAATCACAACGTTACGACAAGTACTAACGAACATAAAGGACAAAGAACAACCCAACGAACGACAAGGTGCAGTTTACAAAAGAAACTGCTCCGACTGCCACGCCTCCTATATCGCGGAAACTGGCAGGAACTTAAACATAAGATTTACTGAACACAAACGAGCTACTAAGAAACAAGACAAAACTAATCACATTGCCGAACATCACCGAATCACAAAGCACAACATTGACTGAGACTCGGCAAAATGCATTACTTACAGCACTGACTATAGACAACGGCTTACATTAGAAAGTTGGTATACCAGCTTGGAACAAACCCCCCTGAACAGATCACAGCAATTACTGGCACCTTACAAACGACAAATTCCCAATACAAACAAACGATCAACTAAAGACATAACACTTCACACTAATTGGTTACCTCGAAATTATTTTGAAATCCTTATATGATATATTCGTATATATTTGTCTTACTGTATTATTTTTCATTGAATCTATTGTGTTTACAGATTGCAAGACTAATGAATATAGTGTCTCTCTCAATTAACAATCTTCTGCCGCACTGTGAACTGCAGATGCACGAAGGCCTCTTAGGTACGGTACAATGTTGCCTCGTTAGTACACAATAAAAATTCCAGTACAAACATTTTTGAGTTAGTAGACACTAATTGCAGTTTATATGTATATTAAAATGACTTCTACTCTCTTTTTCAGTTATACAAAGCTAAATGATAACCCAGCCAGGAAAAGTTTAAAGGAAACTTCAATCCAGTACATCTCAAAACATTGATCAATCATGAATAAATGATCCGAACATTTTATGATGGCAATAAGGAATTTAAAAAGATGTGCTGAAGCAAATTTCTGTCATCAAAAAAATATTTGTGTTTAAAACTGAAGAAAAAAACCCAGTTCAGTATATAAAGTTTTATTTGACTATTGTACCTGTTAATTGTCTTTTTTTCTCTTCGTCTACAGTATCTAAAAGAAAAATTTACTTTTTAACTAAAATCATATTTCATTTCTAGCGGATAAAAATTTTTGTGCATGTACATGATGATAATGATTTAAATTAGTTGAAAGCTTACATCATCATCCCCTTAGTATAAAACTCGGAAAAATTTACTGACAAGGCAAACTATACAACAATATCGCCATACATATAAATACATTTTAATCATTCATGTACACTCTTTATAATTCTAAGTCTACTTCAGTTGTAGCCGTGACAGGAAAACATATATCTGTATAGTAATAAATGACTGGTATGCAGGATCAGAGTAAGTAAAGACTCAGAATATTACATTATTCCATGCAGATGAAGCATGACAAATATATATATGACAATCATGCAAGTTTGCATTGGAAAATCATTAAAGAATTAATTGACACTTATCGGCTAACTTGGTATTCCCAAGCAGAAGAAAAAGAAATTGCATAGGCTACTACCAATTCCATCCATGGTGTCTTGATCAACCTGATCAGGTAGCTTAACATCCAAATCCCTTTCTATTTCATGAGCTAAGTCTCCCTGCTCACACTCTTTTAATGCTAGGAGCAGTGCTTTTACATTGGCAAGTTGTCCAATCTCTATCAAACCAGGTGTTCAGCACATATCGTGTGGGGTTGTCTGAGAATTTTTTATGTATGATGCATGAAAAACCTCTAATGTGTGCGACAACTCAAAATGGCTTTTACCTTGCAATTTTTCTGCAAGATCTCGACGATTGATACTGCATAAAGCTTCAGCCAATTTATTTGAAGTGGCATCTCTTCCATCTTTCTTTTGCCATTTTGAAAGCATTTGACATGCTTTCTCATTCACAGGATGATAGTCAGCACTTATTCCTCCCAATTCTGATTGACTTATTCCCAACTTTATACCCAGCGCTTTCCAATCATCTACCAGCTCTTTCGCAATGTCCATTACTAAAAAATTCATCCATAATTTCAACAAGTTTTATTCAAACTATCATCGAAATCAAGATATTTACTCTCTATTTGAATCTATTAAAGTAGCTGTGCCAGGCTAAATGCAAAGACTAAAAACCTCCAATTTATGAGTGAAATAAATGAAAAAAGGCTCTGCATTACTATAATCCTGCAGTTGCAGCTAAAAATGATTAAAGAATCAGGGTCATGCCTTGCACGCTTATTTTAATATTATCTTCCGAGAACTTTCCTTTGAAGAGTGTAATTCATTGAACTAAAATACATGGAACGCAGTCGCTATCTGTAATAGAAAAGTTTAATAATTTTTTGAAGCCAAATTTTACACTCAGAAACGCAAGATTACACAAAGACACGAGGGTGTAATCAATCAAAAAATCGCAAAGAATTACCGCTAAAGAATCGCAAACACTACACATGCGTGTCAGGATATAATCTCGCGTGTCTGCGTCTAAGATTTTGCTTCAATTATTTGCTTCAGGGAGCGTCCCATGCATTTTAGTTAAATTGGTCTCTGCATGGAAAGTACAATACATCTATTCAAAGCCCACTTTCTGTAACTTATTCTACAATGATTTTACGTCCTTAGGTTACGTGGTTCTGTCACTTTCATTTACTTCACTGTATATTTGGTGAAATATTTTTTTCAAGTTACGTAATCTTGTATATTTACCGGTAGTATTTATATTATACATTCTTACAGTTATATAAATCTAAGATTAAGAATGCTACTTTTACTTAATTTAAACTTGTCTCTTACACTGCACACGGATATCTAGACACAGTGTTTATTAAAAGCTGCTATTTTCGTGGTCACATACAACGGCTAACCAAGCTTGCAAAGCATAACTCTGACACTCATTCTTCAAGTAACGATTTGTAATACATCTACGGGTTGTATAATAGTGACGATAGAATTAAATAATGATGCATTACCTTTATAAGGCTGTTGGCACTTCTTTTCTGTCATATCACGATTATCTACAACAGCATAAAAATTAAGATGATTTTTCTACTCCCATGGAGAATAGTTCCATAAACGCTGAAAATTTTTATGATTTATCATTTCTATACAGCTACATACAATCTAAAATCCAAATTCACTCAATGACCTCCTTGGGAACCATTGAGCTCTCAATGTTTTCTTTCGCTTAATCTTTAATTTGAAGTTGTTTTTCAGAAGTTACATTGCCAAAGAACTTTTGTTCTATAGCTACTCAACAAATGCACTCAAGATCAATAAATACCAACAACTCTTCAGTGAAATAGTGAAAGGTCCAATCAAAACTCCATAATAAACCAATTTTTACTCTCGTGTAAGATCGTAGGTGAAAGCAAATGTGCAACAACAGCAAAACAACAATACAAAACCCGATTGCTTACCCAGAAACAATAAAAATTAAAATAACAAAGCTACTATACAGACATGAGTCTTGATACTTTAATTTAAGTATTCGCATTGCACATAAATCAACGCAAAATTAAATAATATTTTCCAAACTCGAAGACAAAAGTAAGTGCAGTCAACCTGAAGATTTCCCATGTGACAGCATCAAAAATTGGCGTAGCAATTCATTTTTTGACGTGGTGGGGGCATAACTCCAAACGCTGAATACGTGCCTTTCGAAGGAAGTCAGAGCATATGCCTTCCCTCCGAAGTTTTTAAAGATTGAGTCCCTCAATAGTTATTTTGCATATAGTCTGAATCTTGAAATAAGAATGGATCAAGCAACTCTATATTTGTGGTAAACAAATTTTGAAGCCAACGCCGCCATTACTAAGGGACAAACACATGAAAAGATTTTTTGACAAAACTATGGAAAACATAGCAACACATGGCCAAATCATGCTTTCAAATAACCTTTGTGGCGATAGTAAAGAGAGTCGGGAAGAATATTCGGCCTATAACAACACTCTCCATACAAGTTTCACTCTGAATTACTCGTAAAAAAGGCTTGTTATTCTAAAGGAGTGATCAGTTTGCCATCGTAAATGAAAATATTTAATCATTTAATACTTCCGAATACCAAATCCAACAATTCTAGGTACTTCCATGCAGTTTTGGGCTATTTTCCCCTGTTTTTCGATCCCACAGTAAAGTTAGCGATGACAAAAATCGCTGCATTTTCATCATATTTCATCACATTTTATCATATTTTAAGCTTTTCTATAAAATGATTTATCTCTTAATTATATTCATGTAGTTACATGTGGAAAATTCTTGATTATTCTCGTAAAATCCACAATATATTTGCTCCTTAATTTCGAAAGTTTGTCTCTTAGTAATGGCGGCGCTCCTTATTTTTTGTCTTTAACTTTCGTACTAGATGCTTGATCCAGTTTTATTTCAAGATCAGTGATTCTGAAAGGTATTTGCTACAGGAAAAACAGGATTTTTAATACTGCGACTTCGAAAGTAATTAGAGCATCACTGAAAGAAATTTAGTATCTCAAATAAAAATGCTTTTACTAGAGCCATGAGGACGACTACAACACTTAGTATTGTCATGCCAAATTCCTTTTACTTGGGGACATATCAACAAAATGTTTAATTGGGTTTTCGACTGACTAAAACTTAAAATTTGTAGCCTTTTTTCGCTTGTAAGCAATTGTAATACTTTATTTAATGATTATATTTTCATTTACTCAAGAAAGCACATAGTAACCAATGCAGACATTATTTTCTACTTTTAGATTTAAAGAATCTAAAAGATTTCGTAAACTTTTGGAATTAGTAGTAACAAAGGTCTTCGACTAAATACTTATTGCTCGCCCCTTTCTAATTTCTACCCTAGTTTTGCTTTGCCCCTCTTCCCTTGTCTACGGCACTGCACGACAAGTGGAAATAACATGATACCATGCAAAGAGTAGCATTTCTCTAAAGTACATAAGTTAAAACTCGTACAAAAAAGAACATGACAAATTTACTAAACACAAAAATGCAATCACAATCCGTTACTAGAACATACGTAAAGAACATGAACTTAGACAGGAACACAAAATTTTCTAATTCTATTCAGTCTATTTATACAAGTATAAAGCACATTCTATTAGAAAAATATTCGACAGAAAAAACTTTTCAATGCTCTAGATGTTTGCTACTAACCCTTTATATGATAACGAATAAAGAAAGCAATTTACCTTGTAAATATTCTGCAACATCTTGACGGCCAATATTCATTAAAACCGTGAACAATATTTTTACTGTTGCATTTTTTCCATTATTTCTCTTCCAGAAAAGAAGTATTTCAAATGCATTTTCTACCATTGTATTTTGTTTTATATTTACACTTATCAATTTTTCTTCAGGTACATGTAACATTCTACCAAACTCTTTCCATAGAGAACTCATTTTGTTGGCAATTTCGTAAAGAAGACAATCCTGTGGAACATCACTCCTTTCTGGAGAATCTTTGCATTCTAAACATGTATTAAGCAAAGTTCGTGAGGACATTAATTATTATAGCATCACTTCCACTTAATTTCAGCAGTTTATCTTTTTCAATAATTAAAAAAAGCACTGCTCGAGCTTGATCTAGAACTATCCTCACCAAAGCCTGATCAAGTCACTGCGCTATACATGTCTAACCGTTGCAAAGCTGTTGCCAGCTAGTACAACACGTTATTGCGACGTTATATTTTGGTCAAATTGTGGTAAGGTCGAACCTAACCTAATTACAACGGTTATACAACGTCGTGTCTTGGTTGTAGTTTGGTTAGGTCAAAGACGACCAAAATAGGACGTTTACATAACGTTGCGTTTTGGTAGTACATTTGGTTTGGTCGAAGACGACCAAAATACGACGTTCAAAGGTCAACGTGTAAAAGTATAAACGTTGTTTCAACGTTATAAAAGTCTATTCAGAAAACGTTATGAGAAGAGATTTTCACAACGTTCAGATAACGTTTAAAAGAACCACAAACCAACGTTAAATCACATCGTGACTCCAAACGTTGAAAACATGTTATGAATAATATAAAACCCTTTAGCTGCCTTGAAAAATCGGGTCAATAGCATACATAATGCACTAAAATCTCTTCAAATGTAGTGATGTTTATCATAGAAATATTACGCGATAAATTTGCCTTAAATAAGCATATTAGCATAAAACGGAGTTTTTCACACGCGTTCCCTATAGATTTCAACATTCATGGACAAGGTTTTCGTCGATTGCTCTCGAATTTGACTTGATAAGGTTTTCATTTTCACAAAATATTAAATAACCATGTTCACATATTAAATAATTATGTTGCACAAAATATTGAATAACAACGACATTAAAAATAGGTATGCAATGCGTACACGTGGGTAGCCAATTAAGTAAATGGGCTAAATGAAGTAGGTAAATAAACATAATTGAAATAAAATTGTATATTTAAAATCATTTCCACCAAACTTGTTCAATATTTAAATATTGATTTTAGTTATATGACTAAGTAAGTGTTTAACCATTTCTGCATTTTTTGAACGTTTTAGCTTAGACTGCACCATGCAGATGAAGTATGACAAATATATGTATGACAATCATACAAGCTTGAATTGGAAAATCATTAAATAATTAATTGACACTAATCGGCGAACTTGGTATTCCCAAGCAGAAGAAAAAGAAATTGCATAGGCTACTACCAATTCCATACACGGTGTCTTGATCAACCTGATCAGATAGTTTAACACTTATATCTCTTCCTATTTCATGAACTAAACCTCCCTGTTTACACTCTAGTAATGCCAGGAGCAGTGCTTTTATATTGGCAAGTTGTCCATTTCTATCAAACCAGTTGTTCAGCACATATCGTGTGGGGTTGTCTGAGATTTTTTTATGTATGATGCATGAAAAACCTCTTAGGTGTGCGACAACTCAAAATGACTTTAACCTTGTTGCAATTTTTCTGCAAGATCTCGACGACCAATACTGAATAAAGCTTCAGCCAATTTATTTGAAGTGGCATCTCTTCCATTTTCCTTTTGCCATTTTTACAAAATATTTGACATGCTTTCTCATTCACAGAATGGTTATAATCAGCATTTATACCTTCCAATTCTAATTCACTTATTTCCAACTTTATACCCAGTGCTTTCCAATCTTCTAGTAGCTCTTTGGCCATGTCCATTACTAAAGAATTCATTTATAATTCCAACAAGTTTTATTCAAACAATCATCAAAATCTAGATATTTACTCCCTATGTCAATCTATTAAAGTAAATGTGCCAAGCTAAAAGAAAAGACTAAAAACCTCCAATTTATGAGTGAAATAAATGAAAAAAGGCTCTGCATTAACTACAATCCTGCAGTAGCAGCTAAAAATGATGAAAAAATCAGGGTCATGCCTTGCACGCCTATTTTAATATTATCTTCCGAGAACTTTCCTTTGAAGAGTGTAATTCATTGAACTAAAATACATGGAACGCAGTCGCTACCTGTAATAGAAACGTCTAATAATTTTTTGAAGCCAAATCTTACACCCAGAAACGCAAGATTACACACAGAAACGCAAGATTACACCCAGATACGCGGGTGTAATCAATCAATTGTCATCCCGCTAAAGAATCGCAAACATTACACACGCGTGTCTGGTTATAATCTCACGTGTCTGCGTCTAAAATTTGGCTTGAATTATTTGCTTCAGATAGCGTCCCATGTATTTTAGTTCAATTGGTCTCTGCATGGAGAGTACAATACATCTATTCAAAGCCCACTTTCTTTAACTTATTCTACAATGATTTTACGTCCTTAGGTTACGTGGTTCTGTCTCTTTCATTTACTTCACTGTATATTTGGTAAAATATTTGTTTCCACGTTACGTAATCTTGTTTATTTACCGGTCGTAGTTATATTGTGCAGTCTTGCAGTGGTAGAAATCTAAGATTAAGAACGCTACTTTTACTTAATTTAAACTTGTCTTATACGCTGTACACAAATATCTAGCCATTTTCGTGGTCAAATACAACGGCCAACCAAGCTTGCAAAGCATAACTCTGACACTCATTCTCTAAGTAATGATTTGTAATACATCTACGGGTTGTATAATAGTGACGATAGAATTAAATAATGATGCATTACCTTTATATGGCTGTTGGCACTTCTTTTCTGTCATATCACGATTATCTACAACAGCATAAAAATTAAGATGATTTTTCTACTCCCATGGAGAATAGTTCCATAAACGCTGAAAATTTTTATGATTTATCATTTCTATACAGCTACACACAATCTAAAATCCAAATTCACTCAATGACCTCCTTGGGAATCATTGAGCTCTCAATGTTTTCTTTCGCTTAATCTTTAATTTGAAGTTGTTTTTCAGAAGTTATATTGCCAAAGAACTTTTGTTCTATAGCTACTCAACAAATGCACTCAAGATCAATAAATACCAACAACTCTTCAGTGAAATAGTGAAATGTCAAATCAAAACTCCATAATAAACCAATTTTTACTCTCGTGTAAGATCGTAGGTGAAAGCAAATGTGCAACAACAGCAAAACAACAAAACAAAACCCGATTGCTTACCCAGAAGCAATAAAAATTAAAATAACAAAGCTACTATACAGACATGAGTCTTGATACTTTAATTTAAGTATTCGCATTGCACATAAATCAACGCAAAATTAAATAATATTTTCCAAACTCGAAGACAAAAGTAAGTGCAGTCAACCTGAAGATTTCCCATGTGACAGCATCAAAATTGGCGTAGCCATTCATTTTTTGACGTGGTGGGGGCATAACTCCGAACGCTAAAAGCGTGCCTTTCGAAGGAGGTCAGAGCATATGCCTTCCCTCCTAAGTTTTTAAAGATTGAGTCCCTCAATAGTGATTTTGCATAAAGTCTGAATCTTGAAGTAAGACTGGATCAAGCAACTCTTTATTTGTGGTAAACAAATTTTGAAGCCAACGCCGCCATTACTAAGGTACCAGCAAATCGAAAGACTTTTTGACAAAACTATGGAAAACATAGCAACACATGGCCAAATCATTCTTTCAAATAATGAAGAAGGTGAAAAACAACCTTTGTGGCGATAGTAAAGAGAGTCGGGAAGAATAACCAGCCTATAACAACAGTCTCCATACAAGTTTTACTCTGAATCACTCGTAAAAAAGGCTTGTTATTTTAAAGGAGTGATCAGTTTGTGGTCGTAAATGAAAATATTTAATCATTTAATACTTCTGAATAGTAAGTTCAATAATTCTAAGTACTTCCATGCAGTTTTGGGCTATTTTCCTCTATTTTTCGATCCCACAGTAAAGTTAGCGATGACAAAAATCGCTACATTTTCATCGTATTTCATCACATTTTATCATATTTTAAGCTTTTCTATAAAATGATTTATTTCTTAATTATGTTCATGTAGTTAAATGTTGAAAATTCTTGATTATTCTCGTAAAAATCCGCAATATATTTGCTCCTTAATTTCGAAAGTTTGTCTCTTAGTAATGGCGGCGCTCCTTATTTTTTGTCTTTAACTTTTGTACTAGATGCTTGATCCAGTTTTATTTCGAGATCCGTGATTCTGAAAGGTATTTGCTACAGGAAAAACAGGATTTTTAATGTTGCGACTTCGAAAGTAATTAGCGCATCACTGAAAGAAATTTAGTATCTCAAATAAAAATGCTTTTACTAGAGCCATGAGGACGACTACAACACTTGGTATTGTCATGCCAAATTCCTTTTACTTGGGGACATATCAATAAAATGTTTAATTGGGTTTTCGAATGACTAAAACATAAGACTTTGTAGCCTTTTTTTGCTCATAAGCAATTGTAATACTTTATTTAATGATTATATTTTCATTTACTCAAGAAAGCACATAGTAACCAATGCAGAAATTATTTTCTACTTTTAGATTTAAAGAATCTAAAAGATTTCGTAAACTTTTGGAATTAGTAGTAACAAAGGTGTTCGACTAAATACTTATTGCTGGCCCCTTTCTAATTTCTACCCTAGTTTTGCTTTTCCCCTCTTCCCTTGTCTACGGCACTGCACGACAAGTGGAAATAACATGATACCATGCAAAGTGTAGTAGTGCTCTAAAGTACATAAGTTAACCTTCGTACGAAAAAGAACAAAGCTAATTTACTAAACACAAAAATGCAATCACAATCCGTTACTAGAACTTACATAAAGAACATGAACTTAGACAGGAACACAAAATTTTCTAATTCTATTCAGTCTATTTATACAATTATAAAGCACATTCTATTAGAAAAATATTCGACAGAAAAAACTTTTCAATGTTCTTAATGTTTTCTACCAACCCTTTATATGATAACGAATAAAGAAATCAATTTACCTTGTAAATATTCTGCAACATCTTGACGGTTAATATTATTTAAAAGCTTCAACAACATTGTCGCTGTTGCATTTCTTCCATTGCTTCTCTTCCAGAGTTGAAGCATTTGAAATGCATTTTCTACCATTGTATTTTGTTCCATATTTACTCTGCTCAGTATTTCTTCATGTACATGTAACATTCTAGCAAACTCTTTCCATAGAGAACTCATTTTGTAGGCATATTCGTAGAGAGGACAATCTTTTGGAACATCACTCCTTTCTGGAGAATCTTTGCATTCTAATCACGTATTAAGCAGATTTCATGAGGACATTAATTATAATAGCATCCCTTCCAATTAATTTCAGCAGTTTATCTTTTTCAATAATTAAATAAAGCATTTAAACAAGCATTGTCAAAATTGATCATATGATGAGATAAACAATATAAGCAGTCAAAAAGCACTGCTCGAGCTTGTTCTATAACTATCGTCGCCAAAGCCTGATCAACTCACTGCACTATACATGCCTAACCGTTGCAAAGCTGTTGCCAGCCAGTACATCACGTTATTGCGACGTTATATTTTGGTCAAATTGTGGTAAGGTCGAACCTAACCTAAATACGACGGTTATACAACGTCGTGCCTTGGTTGTAGTTTGGTTAGGTCAAAGACGATCAAAATACGATGTTTACATAACGTTGCATTTTTGGTAGTACATTTGGTTTGGTCGAAGACGACCGAAATACGACGTTCAAAGGTCAACGCGTAAAAGTCTAAACGTTGTTTCAACGTTATAAAAGTCTATTCAGAAAACGTTATGAGAAGGGATTTTCACAACGTTAAGAAAACATTTTAGAAAAAACACAAATCAACGTTAAATCACATCGTCACTCCAAACGTTGAAAACATGTATGAATAATATAAAACCGTTTAAATGTCATAAAAAATCGGATCACTAGCATAATGCACTAAAAATCTCTTCAAATGTAGTGATGTTTATTAAAAAAATATCACGCGATAAACTTGCCTTTAATAAACATATTAGCACAAATACAGATGACAATAAAAATAGGTATGCATGCGTACACGTGGGTAGCCTATTAAGTAAATGGGCTAAATGAAGTAGGTAAATGAACATAATTGAAATAAAATTGTATATTTAATATCATTTACACCAAACCTGTTCAATATTTAAGTATTGATTTTAGTTATATGACTAAGTAAGTGTTTAACCATTTCTGCATTTTTTGAACGTTTTAGTTTAGATTGCACCTTAGCATCATAAATGCATGTGCTTACAAGAATCGCACGAAGGAAAGTCACGTCATTTAGATTTCTTGCGACTTTTAAAGTCTTTTTTTCACTGTAAACCATTTTTTCTATGATTTTGTTTGAAAAACGTTTTCTAACGTGGCTTAGATGTCGTTCAGAGAACGTTGTTCCACGTAAGGATGAATACTGTATTTGTTCGAACAAGTAGAGCAGTGCTAATTTTTTCTCATCACGCATGCAGCGTTTCTCAGAGAACATAAATGTGGGAATATAAAGTAAAAATTGCTAGGTCTTATTAAAATTGAAAAATGTTATCGAGTTATTCATGGTAATATTTCGATTGTTACCAGAAATCTCTACCTGAAAATTATGCACTACATCATATCAAATGTCTCAGAGAACACAAAATGTCAGTTAGCAAGTTCTCAAAGATTCATTTGTTTGCGCTGTTTTGTGATGACTTACCGGATAGCTTCGAATTGATAAAAGTAGTGGCCGATGTGCTGGTATTCGAAGACGAGGTTTCTAAATTCAAGAAAACAATAGGAAATTTTACCAATTGAAGACAAAGAAATAGAATACAGATATAATCAGTATGGAAACTGACTTAGTGTAGGGTAGAGCATCAGTTTTACTTCGTGCATATATAATTTAATACTTCATGCAACTGATCGTTGCAAAATTGAAAAATGTTATCAAGTTGGACGCAATTTAACAAATTTGTGGTATTCTCACAAAGTTTGTTTTATATGGATTTGTAAGTCAATGAGAACATTTGAATTTAGAAAATTGATATCATTACAGGAAGGAGATTGTCTACACTTGCTTAGCAAGCAAAAGACGTTTTTAAGCTTTCGAAAATCTGTTTTAATGAGTCACAATGACATAGTACGCTGAAAAAATTTTGTTTACTGTATTAATTTTTAAAACTATAGCTACACGAACAATATATGAAGGTGTTGAGCTATAGAGACCTAATAAAAACCTTGACGGACTTCAATGAATGCAACTTGTTATGTTTGTAAAACATACTTGTCTGCATAGTTATAGTGAAGAATATATATTGTAGCTATTCATTGCGACACATAATATACTAATTACAAATGAAGCATATTTCCTGGTTAAGATTCAGATACAAGAAATTTTCACGCTAGTATTGATCACTTTCATTTTATTACATTTAAAGTTCATTGCATTAAACAGAATTCACGTTATTCATCACTATTTTAACATTCAAAGGAACTTTTTAACTTGCACCTTTTTAAGTGAGTCAGACAGGCGCGTCAGAAGGAACATAAAAAGGGAGGGGGCACATTTTAAAAATGATGAGTGCCGATGTGTGCAACATGTTGTCTAATAGTCGCCATTTAGAATTTTAGCAACACTGGTCGTTTAATTGCGAACGTAATAAACTAATGGGGAAAAAATTGCAAAAGATTTCTACGTGATTCTTTAGAGTCCACTCACTGCACTGTTGATATGTGTGTTTTATAGTCAAATAAACTATTAGTAAATATTCTCCTTGGTGGTAATTTTTCTATCTCGAAGCAAAGTAGGGAGGAAGACATTCCTCTTCTGAGAAAAGGGAGGGTTAGCCCCGGCATCTCCACTTCCAATGCCCCTGGTCTCAGAAAACATAAAATGTCAGTTGGCAAGTTCTTAAAGATTTAATTGTTTGCGCTGTTTTATAATAACTTACCAGATGGCTCCGAAATTATAAAAGCAGTGGACGATGTGTTGGCATTTGAAGACGGGTTTTCTAAATTAAATATAAAATAACAGAAATTTTACCACTATAACGAAACAACCAGAATAGCATGGTACAACTATGCAGTTTAAAAAAAAAAGATTAGTATACGCAATAGCATAAAAATCAGTTTTACTTGATGTCAATATAATTTAATTCTTTGTATCAAACATCTACCGATATTAAAAATGCCATGAGTACAATATTGTAACGTCATTGGAAATGATCTTTAATTACACATAAAAAATTTTTTCCTTGATTAAACATAAATAATTTATTCTAGTGTCAAGAATTTCTTTCTGTATGCTTGCATGCTTTAAGATGGTGAGTAAGATCAAATAAGTGTTCTTTTGCAGGTAACAAAACTTACTTTAGCTTTTTCCTAAAGCCCAACAGGAAGTCATATAGTTACAACATAAAATGACTAGCAAGTTTTTCAATCAAAAAAGTTTTTACAGAGGTCATGGACATCGTGATTAAAATTTAATGTGAAAAATTGAGTTCATGCTCTAATACTTTTATAAACTGATTATGGTTGATGCAATGTTAAAATAGGTTAATAAACCGGATATTGAAATCTACCAATCATTCAAACCTTTTTTAACAGCTGGAACTGAGTCTAAATCTGTGTTCAATTCCATGTTCATCCACTTCAACGTTGCGTCAACGCCTCCGCACCTACGGTTTCCTTTAATAAAACGAGCTACACCTTTTTTTCTAGACACCAATGCCACGTTTTCGCCAGCATGCTGAACGATGCGTAATGAATCGTCAAAAATTTCCGAGTCATATCCTGTGTTTTTCAGGATTATTGGCAACATAAATTTTTCTGTTTCAACAGAGTAAGTCTCAATAACTAGCTCTGATTTGTCAAAGAAAAAAGCTGTGACACTGTTGGAAACGGGAGTATAAATGACTTGATTGTATGAACTGATTTCACCATAGTGTGGTTGAAATTTCCCTTTTTTAACAAATTTTCCGTCCATCGTACTAATGATAATTTGGTAAATCTTGGGTGATTTATACGTCAAAATGACTATGTTGTTGTCGGAGGAAATGGACAAATATTTCATTTCATCATCAATTGGTTTACGTTTACCCTTTGCTACAAATGACGTATTAAGGTTGCCTTTACTGTCACACACATACATCATGACGTAGCTTTGATCCTTCTTGACTGCAGCAGTAGCAATGACAATACTGCCATTTGGTGCTACAGCAAGAAAAATCTTACTAAATTGTATTACTTCAGGAAAGGACAAGGAACATTTTTGAACAATTTTGTCTTCCAAACAAAGCAACAATATATAATCGCAATTCGATTTGTCTTTGCAACCCAAAAGTAGATATACTACGCCATTTTCATCAACGTTCATGCATTTTACTTGCCTATTTTTAACATCCGACCATTTAAACCTACACCATGTTTCAAACACTTCGGGTTTGCTGTTAAGTTTTTGGAGTTCATTTCTATCAAAAATTAGTAATTCTCCTTCTTTGTTTACGATCATGTTTTCGAGGTAAGTATTCTTTGTAAAGTGAGTTGAGTACCAAGGTAATAAGGTAGAAGTGTTTTCTTCAATCTTCTTGCAATAAAAAGGATGAATCAACTGCTCATTATATTGAATCTGGGGCCATTCCAAAACAGGCATCCTTTTGTTTGTGTGCTTAAAGATGAAATTGGCCAACGACAAGTTGATATCAATTATTGTGTCAAGGGCTTCACTTCCCATGTAGTCGTGATATTTGGCTTTTTTTCCCGCGACAATCGAGGAGTTTAAATCTTTCAGACATAGCATGAAATCCCTTGTTGCTAAACCGCAGTTATCTGAATGTTCAAGAATAGCGCTTGCAATGCGTATCTTGCTTGCTTTTATTTTCTCTACAGTGCTTGACAAATCATTTTCAAACGCCTCTTTCGCTTTCTCTCCGGCCAATTTGAAACGCGTTCGACATGATTGAGATACATTTATTGTTGGTACCTGTGTCGATGACGATGTTTCACTTTCAGTCGACTCTGGCATGCGTTTCAGCTCTTCAACTCCTTCCTTAAAGTGAATGAAACTGCAACGAAGATCATTTGCCAATTCCTCGTATATTTTCTTTAATTCATCGTTAAATGCATCCAAAAAATGCGTTCCATTTTGGCCTTCCTCGACATCCACAACTATGCCCAAAGCTGATTTTATTATTGCTTTCATCACTAAAAGAATTACGCTCAAAGAGAAGCTAAATATACCCAAAGATTATAACGTCTTTTTAAAGCTACTAAAGCATAAGAACATGAACACCAAAGTTAAACCAAAAAGTGGCAGATACGTGGCAACAAACGAACTTTAGAAAGTTATGAACTGAGTCACCAGAAAAATGGCGTCACGCAAGTGTTCCTTTAACCCTTAACCACAGAATAGATACATACAGAAGGGCCACTCTCGTCGGAACCTTTGAAGATTTTGTTGTCAACCTTTCGCCCGCAATCAGGCATCGCCGCCATGTTAGCAGCAAGATAACTCCAGCAAGTTCGTAATAGAAAATATAGTAATGAGAAACAGTTCGGCGCGTCCTCGATAATTATATGGCTATTCCATTTTTTTGTTTTGTGTATGCCATCACGAGCAATGTCAAAGAAGGTAATTTTGACAACTTAGGTCGAATCGCATCGTTAGAATACACGTTTTAGAGTCAAAATTTGTTATTGTGGTCTGATGCTTTTGCCAACTTGCCAACATTCAATCATGGTTATGCTTGTATTGCGAGTTACAATGAAAAGGATCATCAACTTTGTCTATGGAATTTTCCTTGTAGTAAGTTTGTAGAATGTTACAAATGCTTGACTTTAATGTACTTTCGCGATCTTTTATTAGAAGAGGAAAACTCGCGATTTGCAAATTTGATGCCGTAATAAATTCGCATTCTTAAAAAAAGTTTGACCAAATATTGCAGTGGAAACTGTGAACATGTACGGAATGGCACTGGTATCATGTTAAGACTCTTCAAGATGCTCTTTCCAACATTCAGATTTTTGGTTGTGACTGAGAAACAATCCACGAAGGTGTCTTCAAGTTGCATAATGTAATTTAAATAGCACGATGAAGGAGCAGTCAGCCCACCAAAGTTGAGTTCTTTATATGCCTTGAAATAGCAGAGCAAATTACCATCATTGTTTATGTTATTTGAAGTCAAAACGTTCTTACATTGGAGACAGCTGTGGATTTTGAATGCTTTGCTTAGCAAATATCCTGAAACATAGGCAGCAGCATTTTTGAGCAATAAATTGTTGCTAATATTTTGTTCTCGGTAGTCATTTTCACCAATCAACAGTGAGTTACTTGGAGCTTTTGCATGGGTAAGTAGCATACTAAATGGTTTGGGCTTTTTTTTTTTAAAATTGTGTTAGCAGAGTGTCCATATCTTTAGACCAGTTTCCTTTGGAAGAGGTCAAAAGTGAACTGAAAAAAACCTTTCGAAAAGCTCTGATAAATTGTATTGGGATTGTCAGAATTACCTCCTTGCTGGCATATTGTTCCAAAAATTCTCTAGAGCATCTGTGTTTAATCTTCTGGTAAGCAAGAATGCAAAATTATGTGAGGCATGAAGATAGGTCCAGAGGCAGATAATGGCTTTTATAGATATAAGCCATCCCTTCAGTGATTTGATTCTGCCTGTGATGTTTTTACCATCTTTTACCACTTTGATTCCCTGGATAAAGGACATTGCTTCTTTGAGAAAAGCAATGTGATTATTGCTGTTGCTTATTGCACTTCTTTGTTCTTTTGCTGATTTCAGTGTGGAACTATTGACGCAATCGAAAAGCGAATCAAATTTTAAAAGCAACTCAGCTGTACCCAAGGCTGATGGTGGTAGTGCTCCAATTGATGAATATGTGCAAATTGATGCAGCAACGGTGTGGCTGAATATTTGTGCAGCATATTTAACTTGAAAAATTAATCTGAATTAATGCAGCGACAGCGATGTAACGAAAATAACAATATATATATATATTAATAGAAGCAAGAGGACAATTTTATTTCCTTACAACGGAATCAATACTTTATATTATCTAAAACATGACAAATATTAGGAACATATAGTTAAGAGCATCTGGAAGTTAGCTACAATCATACAATATAAGAATTTTCCCAACACAATATGGCATTGGCATTAAATACAATTGCACAAGTTTGCAATTTCTCAATGAACATTTATCGAGTGTTCGGGATATAACTAAATTTGTCTGAATTCTAAAGCACCAAATCCAATGTCATACGAAATATCTTTTTTATTGTTCCTTCTTGTTTCTGATTTAAAGACGTTCGTTAAGCGCTTCTCCGCTTCCGTTCTTTACAAATAAATAAATACGAATAACCTTGACCACACGGCCACGGCACAGCCTTTCTCATACAGGTCTCGATAGAATTGTACACATTGGTTGTACATGAAAAAGCATAAAAATATGTTGATTGTATGTTCCCATTTCAGCACGATGCTGAGGGTAGGTCTTGATTGCCTTTATTAACAACAGCTTTGATTTGGTCGTCTCAGGATAAATATTTCAACTTTTCAAGTAATAACGCCAAGATTTTTGAGTTGTACATTGCTACCCTTATTTAATGTAGCAAGTTTATCTTGCTGCCAACATGGCGGAGTAGCGCATGCGCATTAAAATTTAGGACCGCATTTTTCGCCAAGTGGCCCTTCTGTATGTTATCTATTCTGTGCCTTAACCCTTTAAGTCCCAGTGTCCGATATATCGAACACCACGTGCCAGCGCTTCTTTTGCCCAGCTAACTCATAAACAAAAGCCGGACATGCGCTTTAAAGTACACCATTCGGAGGTGTTTGCGAGCATTTTGATATATAGTTTGTCTACGAAACTAGTTTTGGGCGATTTTTTGTGAAGTTTTTTTCTTGCCCTTTAAATTTTGTTTTGGCAAGACATAAACAATGGCGGATAAACCCAACAGCGTGACATTGAACGAAGTTGTAGACTTCCTAGAGCAAGATTATGGTATTTCTTATGATGGAGTGTGCTCGGATATTGATTGCGAGCTTTCTGCCTTTTCGAAACCTGATGTTGAAGGTTTGTCTTCTGTGCAAGATGAACAAGTAGAAATCCTCAGCAACGTACATGATGTCGACCTAATTGAAACTGATGAGGAATAGGAAACGATCGCCCAGTCTGGCAAAATACTGGCATACAACTTTTCAAACAATTGATGGTCGAACGATGAATACGAGGGAGAAATACGACGTGGTGCTTTTACACAAGATGTTGGTCCTGCTACTATTCTTCCAGAAGGATTGTCTTCGGAAGGGCAATCTGTTTTTCGATTCAAAGGACCCATTACTGCGGTAACATGGATGGACAACCGTGTTGTGAATATGGTTTCATCTCAAGCAATACCATCTGATACTGCTACAATTCCAGTAAAGCGATGAAAGAAGGATGGCAATACAGATGATGTTCAAATATCATTGTATCATACAATGGGTGGAGTTGGCGGGAATGACCAGGTGAAATCATATTATGGTATCAACTGTAGGTGGAAGAAATGGTGGCTGAGAATATTTTTTGAACAACTGCACAGATGCATTGTAAACAGTCACATCCTGGAAAGGCTGTCACCAAACCATAACATGAGGAGTTCAAAGAATTTCCGCCTAGAAGTCTCCAAACTTCTTATTGGGGAGTTTTCTTCTCGGACACATGCTGTTCGACCAGCTATTGAATCGCCTGCTAGATTTCGGGATAGACATTTTCCCAGCATACTTCCATCCAACAGCAAAGGAAAGACTAAGGAAAGAAGGTGCAAAGTATGTTCCACAAAAGAAAAACCAAAAAGGACTTCCTATTTCTGTGAAGACTGCGACGTGGGACTATGTGTAGCACCTTGCTCTAAAATTTTCCACTCCAGGCAGTAGTTTTTTCCAACAGAATTGTTGGTAAATATAAGCATGGTATTAAAAATTACACATTTTATGCAATAAAACCCTAAGTTAGTGCAACTTATAAGTTTGTTCAAGCTCGTAGATAGTTTTGAAATTATTTCTCATTTTATTGCTATATTTGCTGGCACAGTACAATTGCAATTTTCCAATTATTTGAGCTTTCTAGTATCTAAATAAGAAAAGTTATACATCATTTGAAAGCTTATAATACAGGCTTTTTTGTGAGCAGTAGTAAGCAATTACATCTAAAGAATATTCCGAGAACTTTATCTTTACATTGAATGTTTTAGTTTGAAAATATTATCACTTCGGCAATTGACACTATGTGTCGCCATGGAAACGATTTTTATCCTATTTTGAACACTACAATTAAATTCTTCATTATATTAACTTTAAATTGATATATGATATGTATGTAGTTTATTAAATGTTGGCTATTATTTTAACTTTATTTTGTTATTGTTCGCTATTTCATTTTTTCTCTAAAATAAACTTGGGACTTAACTTACATTGCAAATACATAAAAATCATTCATGCTTGCTGTAGTCATTGTATTCTAAAACATTTTTCGTCCAAATATTTAGCAGTCATAATTTTTGCTCGCCATAAGAACATAATATCTGAACAATATGATAATGATCTGGAGTTAAAATTTTAAAAATAGACAATGATGTATAAGAAATACATTAAAATGTTAAAAGATTATATAAATAGTATGGTGCACGCAAGCATCAATTGTTTTACACCCACGACCTTGGCAAACTAACATTTTATCGGGAAATACATTATAAATACATTTATAAATCCAAGTAAGAATATACGCATGAAAGCTACGAAAGTTTTGAACAGTGACCGGTGAAGTTTAATCAAGAAAATCGAACAGTTGAAAGTGAACTAACTGAGTCACGATCAGAAAGTGGCGTAAAGCCTAGTTCTCATTCATCGTAAAACGTCGGCGATAGAGCTTTTGCGACGTCGGCGAGCGCTTACTATTAATGAGAACGCGTTAAAATTTATGTCGCCGATTTTTTGTGACGAACGCCGAGCGTCGGCGCTGCCATCGCAAGAAACAAAACGGTTTGTTTCTTGCGATCATAGCCGATCATTACCGACAACTTTCCATAATCTAGTCCAACATGGCTGCTCTTGAAAAAAGACGAAGAATCAGACTTTGTTGAGTCATGCTCATAAACCACAAAACATGTTAAGGAAATAGTATGTGCGTAGTTTAGTTTATCAATGTATCCGTTCCCACACGGCTAAGAGCCAAGGAACAGTTATTGACGTTAGTTAAATTTCCTTATGTACCATATATAGCTTAAACAGAGGAACTACTCCGACCAATAATAATATTTGTTGTTTGTAATAAAGACTATAAATACTGCTCTGTAAAACAATAAAAATCAGTTCGATCATTAAATTCACTCGTGGTTGTTACTGAAGGTATAGAGTATATTAAGAAATAGATATGGCGAGTAACTCGAACACAACAGACTTCGATAGAAGCTTGCAATTGAATATTGTAATTTCTGTGCAGCTTCAATTGTATTTATTGGCTTTGTTAATAAGGAAAAAGCAAATTTTACTCAGATTAAACAAACCACGAAAGAGAAGGTTTTGGATAAGAGAAATGTTGAAGAAACGCCAGCAGGAAAGTCAATTTCATATTTTGGTTGAAGAGTTAAAATTGCACGATCGAGAGTATTTTTTCAAGTTTTTAAGAATGAGTCCAGAGAGGCTAGAGCATCTATTAAATCTTGTTGCCCCCTACATTACAAAAAAGAAATGCAACAGCAGAATACCAGTTTCTGCAGGAGAAAGACTTGTCGTTACTTTGCGATATTTAGCTACGGGGATTCCCAACAATCCCAAGCCTTTAATTTCAGATTGGGAAAAAGCACAGTTTGTAATATCATAAAAGAAACATGTAGTGGAATATGGAATTCTTTATGTACCACATACCTGAAGGCTCCAAAGTCTGAGCATGAATGGAAAGAGATCGCAAATGAAATGTTTACTCAGTGGAATTTTCCAAACTGCATAGGTGCATTGGATGGAAAACACATTGCAATTGAATGCCCTGCCAATAGTGGATCTAATTTTTTTAATTACAAAAAGTTTTATAGTATCGTATTGATGGCCATGTGTGATGCTAGGTACTGTTTTACATTGGTGGATATTGGAAATAATGGAAGAGACAATGATGCACAAATTTTCAATAATTCAGCAATGGGCAAAGCTTTGTCAAATAATGAATTAAATGTTCCATCCTGCAGTTCCATTGTTGGCCATACACTGCCTTATGTTGTTGTAGCCGATGAAATCTTTGCACTCAAACCATGGTTAATGAAGCCATATGGTGGTAAAGGATTACCACAAGATAAAGAAATATTTAATTACAGACTTAGTCGTTGCAGACGAACAATAGAAAACAGTTTTGGCATCCTTTCAGCAAGGTGGAGGATTTTTCGCCAATCAAAGCCAAGCCTGAAACAGTTGACTTGATTATAAAAGCATGCTTATGCCTGCATAATTATTTACAGCTAACATACAATGCCCATTACATCCCAGCTGGTTTTGTAGATGCTGAAGATACTACAGGTAATATCGTACCTGGTAACTGGAGAAGCATTACATCAGGTGATAATGGTGCAATGGAAGCATTCTCAGTTGGAAGGGCAAATAATAGATCTTCCTTTGAAGCTATTGAAGTTAGAGAAAAATTCAAGAAATATTTCACAAGCAAAGAGGGATCCTTGTCTTGGCAAGTCACTTATGTTAATAGTTTTTAAAGTTAACTGACATATTGTTTGGAGTATAGTCTAACCATAATCTGCACCACTAATTTCAGGTTTCATATAAATAAAATTATTAAGTTGTTAATAGCCTTGTTATTACAATAGTTGACCACATGGTTTTTATTCACAGATCAGTGATAGTTATTTGTAAAAAGCCAACCTCATTGCAGCATAATTTAGCATAGTTGTGTGTATGCAAATAAGCATTTGAGTTAAAATTTATCCTATCAACATCTTTTTATGCTTGATGGCAAATGAAATTATTTGCTCCAGGACTATTGACTCCAATGTTATCTACAACATTTACACTGCATTGCAAGATTTTAGACATTGTAAAATATATATTTGAAACTAACATGTATTATGAACATTAATTTTAAACTATGTAAACAATAATGAGTTAATGAGTATCTTACTCTACTTGCTAAAAACTGAGTTATCAACAAACTAAACAGTGCAGTAACTTACTTTGTGTGGAAATGATTATTTTAGAGCAACTGGAAGTGCTTATATTTGATTTAATATCTTTGAAAGTTCTACAGTTGTATTTTTGGGAAAATTAGATAAAGTTAGTGCACTGAGTAGTTTCATGGTAATCACACAAAATAATGAAGTTTTATTACTGTAAGCAACAATTTCTTCTGAAACTAAATAAAGTAAATGTCTTATCCATCAAATAACAAACTAAATGATATAAACCTGTTTTGACAATAGCCGATATGAAACTTTTAATTATTCCCATAATTTGCTTGTCTATTTGGCACAGAACCAACAAAAGTTGGAAATGAATTCAAGTAATTTGGATTTGAAAACCTCCATACTCAACTTCCATGAAAGCCTTCTCAATTAAGTTCCTAATTAAAGCCTTTTTTTCCATCAAGCCTTCTCAGTCTGGGGGCTAAACTCAAACAGTAAAAGTAGTCTTCATCATTCTCCACATTAGGTTTATCTTTTTGGCTGTTTTCCAAACATTTTAAGGACTTGTCCAACTTTGACATGGCTTCTTTAATTTGTTCATCAGTTTTTTTCAATTGCATTTTGTTATTGATTTTAGCTCCAACCCAGCTCGTACCACTACCATCTCTTTTTTGCCTTTTTATTGGCTGCTTTTGGTGGGTCCCATTTTCTGTGTCTCTTATTTCCTCTGCAACATCACAAATTTGTTCAGTTGCTTCGCCTTGAAAATTGTCATCTACAGATATATCTAATGTTATATTAGTTTCCTCATATTGATCATTTTCTCTATCTGATAACTCTTCAACCAAGTCGGGATCTTCTGCACCAAGTGTAACTATATTTGAGACACTGTCTTTGGTTATGTTTGGTTGACTAAGTGATACATTCAAGTTACTTGTCCCTTGTCTTGAAGTCATATGGATTGTAAGCCATCCAAGATTCTCGAACCTTTGATCAATATTCGGAATATCGCTTACTCCAGACCCAGACTTTAACTTTTGTTTTGAAAGATAACGAGAAAATGCAGTACGAATAGTCTTGTATCTCCTTTCCACTTCTTCTGTTGTAGTTTCAAGCAATTCAGCTATTCGTTGCCAGCAGTTAGCTTTCTTTCGTTTGTCACGAAAACCGTTTGTTCGCTTGTCGTATATCGTGGGAAATTCACGAATAATTTCCATAAAGCTTCTATCATTGTCCTTTGCTTTAACAGCAAGAACATTTAATGCTTGCACTGAATCGAAGTCTGTTGTGTTCGAGTTACTCGCCATATCTATTTCTTAATATACTCTATACCTTCAGTAACAACCACGAGTGAATTTAATGATCGAACTGATTTTTATTGTTTTACAGAGCAGTATTTATAGTCTTTATTACAAACAACAAATATTATTATTGGTCGGAGTAGTTCCTCTGTTTAAGCTATATATGGTACATAAGGAAATTTAACTAACGTCAATAACTGTTCCTTGGCTCTTAGCCGTGTGGGAACGGATACATTGATAAACTAAACTACGCACATACTATTTCCTTAACATGTTTTTGTGGTTTATGAGCATGACTCAACAAAGTCTGATTCTTCGTCTTTTTTCAAGAGCAGCCATGTTGGACCATTGAGTTCTATAATAACTGGAGCGGCTATCTCAAGCGCGGCCTTAGATATCGGATGTTGTAAAAAAAATGGCGGATTTCGTCCGTTGCCGCTGAGATTTACCGAAATTGACCGCTTTTCCGAAAATTTCACAATTTCACACTCCCTCCTGAGGAAAGAGTGAGGAAAATGTATATGTGTATTTGGGATTCGGCAAGCAATTTTTTGATGAAAATCAAGGTAAAAACCTTAAATTCATAACAGCGAGTCAACTGTGGTTGTCAGTTATCTGCTCCTACGAGGATGCATTTATAACTATCGACGAAAGACCTATATGTCGGCTACACATGTATGAATGCAGATGTGCGTCGTTTTCTTACCAGCGTCAAATTTGTTTGATCGATTAAACTCTTTAGTCTATACAAAAAAGTATATCATAGTTCATCTCCACGGCTCACGAGAGAAGTCAGCTTATTTGTTATCATTGCTATTTTGCTTCTTTTCATGCAATGGGCAATGGCTTTTTTCGCCACAATTGTAGGATTTTTACTTGTTTCTTTAAAAAAGTACATATTAAATCTCTGGATATTTACGGATTTTCTGTAATTGAGTTTCATATGAAATTTCAAAAAGACTCAAGTCTGCATAGGTTTGGTAAATAAAACAAACAATATTGTGTAGAAATTACTTTAAGTAACCTTTTTGTGATGTTCTGAAGTGCAACTGCATCAAATACTTGTGAAGTTGTAGCACATTTTGATTTTGTTGTATTGATATATGAATTGGGCAAAATGCAAATAATCATCAAAACACTTATGCTTCCAATGGTGTTTATAATTCATTTGTAGTTTTAATACTTCTATCTTACTTTTTCACTTTGTTTTGTTTTTCCTATATTTGCAATATAAGTGCACTATAATTTGAATGATTAACACAGTCTTCACCTCAATAATAAATTTCATAAGCAGTTGGTAGTGCATTTTGTTCTCTGAGTATCCACATCTGGTGTTTTGTTCATACAAGAATGATGAAGTGCAAGTAGATATGTCATAGCAAGGCAATAAAACCAAATGAATTACATACCTATAGTGTACTTTTATGCTAGAAGCTTAAAAGCTTTTTAGAAATTAGAAAGTTATTGGATTATATTACCTCTATATCATCAATTTCATGATAAGAAATAAGAAGCAAAAAATTTGTAGAAAAGCTTTGAAAAGTGAAAAACTTTTCTTTAAAAAAGCAGCAATAATGCATATGATAAATCTCCATTCTGTACTCTAATAGGTAAATAAGCTCAAATTTTTCTTGAAGAAATATAAGAAATATATAAGAAATATACAGTACAATAACTTTAAAGGTTTCATCACTGAATCTTTAATGCTTCAGTATAGTGCATTAGATATTAGTAACATTCAAACAACACTCAACTAAAATATTTTGATAAAGATATCACATGATTTAAACATTAAGTTACATAAAACCCAATGGCTTATACAGTTTGAAGCTTCACATCTGCATCGAATCATCATCAATCTCAGTACAAATGTTTACATAGACACAAACTTTATGGCCTTCCATTTTACATGTTTGTGAATTGACATTTCATTAAGCATCAAAACACACACAACCTTCTTGCCATCTTTCTTTGGATCATGAACTTTAACTTCAAAGCATTCAAGGCATCCTTAGTGAATCCATTGTCTCCATCCATAGAATTTGACCACAATCAAATTAAATAACTCTGGAGAGGGAAGACAATAAATCAATTATCTTTACAGCATTATCATTTTTTAAGACTCTGCCTGGTCAATAACATCTTCCAGTCATCTTTACTCCTTGATCTTCCCTGCATGTTGTCAGCAAATAGAACATAACAAGCTCTGCTCCAAATCATGGGTACCGTTGGGGCTGATCATTTCTTTTTGATACCAGATCACATTTTTGATACAGAGCAAAATGTGTGCAGTGTCTTTTTTGCTTTAGGGAAACTATTTTGCAAATAGATGGGTAAATTTACGATTTCATGCATTAACAAATGACAGAAAAGTATACAGAATTTTATAAGAATTTACAAGTATACAGAGTTTTATAAACAGGAAAACATCAGTATATTTGGCGTTCAAGTCTGTCTTAAAAAATACGATCTTTAATATGTATTTTATGGCTTTTCAAGTGCATGTATAATTGCTTTTCAATCGTTGACGGACTAACAAAACAAACAACTACCTCACCTGTGAGAAGCGATATGTTCCTTTTTGTGGAAACTACGACATCCAACAATTGAACGATTGAAGTGTTGGCATTATAAAGAAATGACAAAAGAATCGTCACAGATTAGGAACTAACGATATCCATATTCTGTGATATCGTGTTTGTTTTTGAAAAATTCTTTATAATTTACTATAGACACCAGGGGGAGGTCGAGAATATTATTTTTCTGCAAAGCAATCATTTCAGCGGAAATACGTCTGTTGGCCGCCATGTTTTTTACAACAGTTCCCAGTCCACTTAGCCGCTCCAGTTATTATAGAACTCAATGTGTTGGACTAGGAGCCATTTTTTTTCTCAAAGCAATCACCGACCATCGCCGATGGTGAGCGATGCTTTCCGATTAATGAGAACACAAGGCCATCGACACCGACCATCGGCGATACTAGCGACGTTTTGCCATGAATGAGAACTAGGCTTAAAGCAGGTGTAGCTTTGCACTGAATTTGCATTGCAAATACGTACAAATATTTATGGCTCTCTATAGTCTGACAGGCACGTCAATGCGTTAATCTAATTGTTCAAATGTTTAGCAGTCATGTAATTTTGGTTCACTAAGAACATCAATATAGCTAAATGAAAATGATTTGAAACTAAACTTTTGAAAAATGACAGCTATGCAAGAAATACTATATAACAGGCTAGAAATTTATGAGGCGATTTATACAAATTATTTTGTGTCACGCAGCTACCGTTGTTTAGGGTAACACCCGCATAGCCATAGAAAACTAGCATTTTATCAGTAAAACGCGAAATTATAAGCGTAAAATTAA